TACGGTGAAAGATTGGGATGTTTTTGGCCAATACCAGTTACAGTTTGTTTTTTCTTTTTGAGCTACGGGACGATACTGGGAGAACTCGGAGGAAACCCACGCAGACAGAAGAATACAGCAGTCCCTCGCTCACCGCGGGGGGTTAGGTTCCTGAAGACCCCCGTGGTAGGCAAGACCGCGGTTGATAAGACGAAAGACGCATGGGATATATGGGGGTGAGGGGGACCGTGGCCGCGGTCAGAATCGTCATGGCTTAACTTGCCCCTTTAACTAAACACCTAATAAATAACGTTGGCATTATAAAACATAAATAAACATTACAACTTTAAATACCTTTAATATTAATGACAATGAGGTAATGGGGGGGAGGGGTGGTTAGGAGGAGGAGGTGCTCAGCCTCCCGCCCCTCCTTTATGATTTAAAATTTATTAAAATAAATTTGACTATTTTTATTTTGTTAGTTTTTTGCTTTTATTTTCAAATATTTTTTTTATTATTTGTAATTTTATTCTTTTTTTTTCCTATCTACGCGACTTTACCGAAAGAACCGAGAATGTGACCTCCCTCCCCTCTTCCTCCGAGCCACAGACACACCACGCGCACCTTCACCACTCGCTGCACGCTTCGGGTCCACGATCACAGTGCTGCTGTATCAACGCGAGAGTGGTTCGATGCGACACGGACTACGCGCCGCGAGAATTACAACGCAAGGACAACAAAACAGACGGGACAGCAGCCGCTCGGCTGCACAGCGTCACGCACTCGCAATGTGATGCTGTGACGGAACGATGTATTGTATTATTACACACGCCATGTGTCTTCGTTAACAACGCGCGTTTACCCGTGGACACGCACATTTCCAGGCCCGCGGTGGGAACACTGGAATACAAATAATAAACCCGTGTACACATGAAACCGCGGCTGGCAAATCCGAGTTTGGTGAGGGATTCCTGTATACAAACTCCGCACAGAAAGGCACCCGAGTCGGGAAGCGAACCCAGGGCCTTCGTGCTGAGGCACGAACGTTATCCCCACCCTGCCATTCAAATTATTCGCCCCCAAAATCACGATTCAAATGTCACAACGCAGGATCGTGATTTGACTAGGGAATTGTTTTTTGTTAAAGACATGTTTAAACAGTGCGGTGTGTAGCGGCCTCTAGTGGCCAGCGGAGACACGCGAACCTAATGCACGCAACACAGACATTGCACAGGCACGCGAACAAACTCACCATCTTAACATAATTCCGTGCAGATTGTGCACGGGGAATGACAATGTCACCTTGGCATGCAAAGCATGCTGGGGTTTAAGTTAAGTGCCGCCGCTGAGGAGATGTTCGCGTAAATACTAAGCTTTTGAGGAATGAAAAAACAAAAACGAACCAATCCGTTTACCTCCTAAACCACACAGGTCGCAAGATCATCAATGTAATCACCGACGTGGACAGGAGCACGCTGGCAGTCTGCATCGCAGTCTTGAAAGAAACTTGATAACCCACAACATCGCACGGTGCAAAAAGTATCAAGGCATTTTTTATGGGCAGGCAGATTGAAGTGGATGAAAATAGCGATCAAGTTCTGTGAGGATTACGATGTAAAGTGAACAATCAAACGTGGGTTCGAAGGTGAGTTCTAATCGATGGGAACGCCTTAACGAGGACATTAACTTGGCATGATGCCATACCTGTCAACCCCTTATCAGTGCCTATCTTATTACAGGCCAATTCAGACCTTATTGGTCATTCTTGATTTATTGGTCATATCGTGCCTTTATAAATCTCAACGTTCATTCCATTAAGTCCAACCACAAGGGAGAAACAGACATTTTTTTTGCCCTTATTGTACAAGAATACGGGTAAACCGTATGGGTTGGCAGGTATATAATGCACAGTGCATTATAAGTCGGGAGGGGGGGGAGATGTTAGAAATCAGAACAAATTGTCTGAAACTATAAAAAAACACGTTGAAGAAGAGACTATAAATGAAGATGATGCTCGCATAGAATCGCTTGAAAATGTGATGTTACCAATGACTATTTCATTTTTGTTAGAGCTGCTCTCCTATATGCCTGGGCATCTCAGCACGTGTGAAAGGGCACCCCCAGTAGCAGCTGTCCCTGTGCAGTACAGCTTTACCCACACACGTCGCCTGCAAGCGGGATATTAGTCTGCCAATAAGGGGGGAGGGGGGCAATGATTATTGCTGTATGGTCTAGCCTAGGGGCACCCCCAGTGGCAGCTGCCCCTGTGCGGCACAGCATGACTCACACACCTGGTCCGCAAGCAGGGAATTAAGTCTGCCAGTAGGGGGAAGCGAGGGTCAGTGCTGCTGCTGTGTAATCCTGATACATTTGTGGTGTAATTTTCGAATTAAGCAAAATTGGCAAACGTGGGTTATCAGCAATTTCAAGGCCACTTCTCATTACACAAATGAACGATGACAAAAACATTGGTCAAACAACTTCGGTAAGAACCTTCTAAAATAAATATATATTTATATTGTAAGTCGAGGCTCCTTTGGTTAAATAAAGGACTTACTAGTTTAACTAATTTACTAAAAAAAATATATACATCATAAACTAACACTGCATTTCTCATATTTAAGTTATAATACTGCCCATCTCGTGGGGAGTGGTGATGCAGCGGTTCAAGCACCACACTTACAAAAACCTGCGACCTGAGTTTGATTACTGGCTACGGCTTACCGTCAGTGGCGAGTGAGTGGGAGGGCAGGGGGGTGGCAGGGGTGGGGGGATAGGTTCCGTCATGTCTCGCCACTGACAATATCCGTGGCTGGGAACTGTAACTCGGGCCGCCTGGTTTACAGTGAGGTGCGCGGACCACGACACCGCCGTTCCGTAAACCTCAACCACTGCCATTAAATATGCGAATCTGTGGCAAGTTGCACACGACAGCTGAACCTGAATTTATCCTTAATTTGTCATTTAAAGCAGGATATTTAATCGACAGCGTCCAAGCATGTTTGGTCGACCGTTTCCGCTGACGTTTAAAACTAAATTTCTCCCAAATGTGTATCCCGGTTGTGCCATCAGCGTCATGTTACATGACGAAGGATCCGATCAGATCCCGCAGAGCAGTGCAGCTTTCTGCGTTAGAGAATGGCCCACGGAAGCAGATACCACAGAGCTACCTCTGAGATCCCTGCAAAGGAACTCTGATGTACAAAGCAGGGAGCGGCACGTTCCCACCCACCTGCTCTGCTACCAAGAGTAATGTTTGTCACGCGACAGTCAAACCGATGCGTTTCATTCTCAGCAATGGAATGTATCCCAAAGTGCAGAACCAAATATAACGCGACGGGTTCTTTTGCGCGGACACTGGTGACCGGGCTGAGACCATCAACTCGCTGCACTCGAGAAACTGGTTTCACCATAGTCTGGTGTCACCACAGTCTGGTGTCACCACAGTCTGGTGTCACCACAGTCTGGTGTCACCATAGTCTGGTGTCACCATAGTCTGGTTTCACCATAGTCTGGTTTCACCATAGTCTGGTTTCACCAGTCTGGTGTCACCACAGTCTGGTGTCACCACAGTCTGGTGTCACCACAGTCTGGTGTCACCATAGTCTGGTGTCACCACAGTCTGGTGTCACCACAGTCTGGTGTCACCACAGTCTGGTGTCACCACAGTCTGGTGTCACCACAGTCTGGTGTCACCATAGTCTGGTGTCACCATAGTCTGGTGTCACCACAGTCTGGTGTCACCATAGTCTGGTGTCACCATAGTCTGGTGTCACCATAGTCTGGTGTCACCATAGTCTGGTGTCACCATAGTCTGGTGTCACCACTGTCTGGTGTCACCATAGTCTGGTGTCACCATAGTCTGGTGTCACCACAGTCTGGTGTCACCACAGTCTGGTGTCACCACAGTCTGGTGTCACCATAGTCTGGTGTCACCATAGTCTGGTGTCACCATAGTCTGGTGTCACCATAGTCTGGTGTCACCATAGTCTGGTGTCACCACAGTCTGGTGTCACCATAGTCTGGTGTCACCACAGTCTGGTGTCACCATAGTCTGGTGTCACCATAGTCTGGTGTCACCATAGTCTGGTGTCACCATAGTCTGGTGTCACCATAGTCTGGTGTCACCATAGTCTGGTGTCACCATAGTCTGGTGTCACCACAGTCTGGTGTCACCACAGTCTGGTGTCACCACAGTCTGGTGTCACCATAGTCTGGTGTCACCATAGTCTGGTGTCACCACAGTCTGGTTTCACCATAGTCTGGTGTCACCATAGTCTGGTGTCACCATAGTCTGGTGTCACCACAGTCTGGTGTCACCACAGTCTGGTGTCACCATAGTCTGGTGTCACCATAGTCTGGTGTCACCATAGTCTGGTGTCACCATAGTCTGGTGTCACCATAGTCTGGTGTCACCACTGTCTGGTGTCACCATAGTCTGGTGTCACCATAGTCTGGTGTCACCACAGTCTGGTGTCACCACAGTCTGGTGTCACCACAGTCTGGTGTCACCACAGTCTGGTGTCACCATAGTCTGGTGTCACCATAGTCTGGTGTCACCATAGTCTGGTGTCACCATAGTCTGGTGTCACCACAGTCTGGTTTCACCATAGTCTGGTGTCACCATAGTCTGGTGTCACCATAGTCTGGTGTCACCACAGTCTGGTGTCACCACAGTCTGGTGTCACCATAGTCTGGTTTCACCATTGTCTGGTTTCATAGTCGGCGACTGAAACCTGGATTCGAACCCAGGATGTCAGCCATCCAAGCTCAATACTCTCATCTCAAAGCCATCAGGGGCCACCTCGTCCCACCTCGTCCCTAAGACAATTAGACTCGGGAACACCGAAGAAAAACAAAAAGTGGCACCGCCAGCGAGTCATCGGCGCTTCTGTTGCGGCGAAAGGGCCTCATTTCAGCCAGGTGGACGACACGCCACGGAACACCACATCCAGTTTACCCACACTATGGCTTTGCCGATTATTCACGCAGCCTACCCGCAAGGCTAATCGGCGACCTACCGAAAAATATTCGGCGAGAAACGACACCGTGCATGTGCCATCGCTTCCCATCGGCGTCCGTCTCCCAGAAGCTGCGAAGGCTACGTGGGGGGGGGGGGGGGGGGGGGGGGGGCAGCGGGGGAAGAGGGGAGCACAAAGATGCTGAAGGCCCAGCGGTCGATGGACGACGGTCGGTGGCGGGTGCGGCCCCTCGTCACTCCACGTCGTCCTCCGCCAGGTTCTGGGACGATGTCATTCTCAGAGTCGGCTGCTGGAATCGGAGCACAGAAGCACCTACGATCAGCGCGGTTGGCTACGCACGGTGCGGCGCGACAGAAGTCCAACGTACGTACTTGCATACAGAGGCACGGTTCGCCAAGATATCAGTTTTCACGAAAACGATACCACACGAGTTAAAATTTCACACGGCGTGGCGATCTGGAGAGCAGTTTCCCGTAACTTTGTAATTCAGAGTTGATAAACGCCACTGGCCGATGCGCTGCGTTGAACATCAACACTGGGGAGACAAAGGCGGCCGGGCGTAGCACTGGCCACACCAACCCCCCATCGTGTGCCGTATCGGCCTCCATAGGTGCTACTCGATAACAGCACACCGTGCGTGTTCAAGGCTACACGGGGGGGGTTGGGGGATCTTCGTCTTTGTGCGTGTGCCCACGTGTTGCGTGCGGGTGATACCGAGCCGGTCATGGGCAGGTTCTGCAGCAGCATTTGGAAGACGGTGGGCGACAGCGTCTGCTGCAGCACCTGCATCAGCTGCAGCGGCTTATTGCAGACGGCCACGGCGTTCGTCAGGTGCTGCACCGCTTGCTCCAACTCACCTGGGGAGGCACAACGCAACGCGCGCGGCAACGCAGGCTCGCTCGCACGCACGCACACACGTACGCTCGCACACACGCATGCACGCATGCACGTACGCACGCACACATGCATGCTCGCACGCACGCATGCACGCGCAGGCACGCGCAGGCACGCGCAGGCACGCGCAGGCACAAAGACATTACTCACATGCGCCACCACACAAAGACAAAAATCCCCCCGAATAGCCTTAACAGACTGTTGGGGCAAGTGTTGTTAGCGAGCGCCTCTGAAGGGCTGGATGGCAAACGAGAGCGTTTGGTGGCCAGCACCACGCCCGGCCACCTTTGTCTCCCTAGTGGCGATGTGTACGCACCGCACCAGGTACTCATTTGAGGCCGAGTCGACCTAGGGGATGCCCAGGACCGGTTGAGATAATCGTCAGCGGTGTTGGCCGTGAGCGGGAATCGAACCCGGGTTGCCAGGTTCGTAGCGCAGCGTAGCGCTAACCGATACACCACCGCTCCCCACGTGCAGGTACCAGACACGTGTACACACACACGTACACACGTACACACGTGTGCAGACACAAGACACCGAAAGGCACATGTGTGCACAGCTCACACGCGTGTAGACACACGTACTCACGGACACACGTGAGTACGTGTAGACACACGTACTCACGGACACACGTGCAAACATGCGCATGGACACGACACACGCACACACAATGGCAATGCACGAGCCACCCACAGACGCGTGCACCTCTTCCTGAACGGCGTCACCTCTTTTGCCCGGCTCGTCGAGAGACGCCTCGGATCTGCGGTCAAGTATGTCCGTGAAACACTGCGCACGTTACAAATCGCATCCTTCGTTGTGCTTTATTCTGACTGTGCAATGCACGATGATTGAATGAGTGCAGAAGTGGCAGAGTGTTAAGCGCACTGCACTCCACGCTCCGCAGGGGCTCCCTCCTTCCGGCAGTGGCGTGAGCAAGCAATTGCAGGGCAGCACCTTTACCCACATCTCTGTATCTAAATCAGCTCAAGCCTCCCGTAAATCACGTGACTCGTGCGTGGCCAACACCTACCACTGTAATCCCTCACTCATCCCCGCCCACTGTGAAAACACATGCCGCTGTCCGCACCTCCCCTTCTTCTTATTCTTCTTCTGCTCACTCTCTCTCTCTCTTCTCCGACTTCTTCCCTCCTCCTCTCTTATCGTCATCATCATCTTCATCATCGCCAACCTCTCATCATCCCCGACATCTTAATCCAGTCATTCATTCTCCCCCCTTCTCCCCTTCCTGCACCTGTGCTACTTCTCTCTTCCTGCTGCTCGTCTTGAGCCGTGCTCTCCTTTTTGTCCCTCTGGGGGACTTCCGTGCCAGCCTCCCTTCCCTTTCTCTTCTTCCATTAGATACTTGACTCCACTCCCCTTCCCGTCGTTTGGCCACGAGTACAGTAAAACCTTGGATTGCGAGTAACTTGGTCCCGCGAGTGTTTTGCAAGACGAGCAAACATTTTAAATAAATATTAATTTGATAAACGAGCGAGGGTCTTAGCAATACGAGCAGCGTACGTATAGACGCTTTGTCTGCCGAGCGTCACGTGATCACAACTGATATACGAGTGCTTTGATATACGAGTGCTTTGGATTACAAACACGTTTCCAGAACGAATTATGCTCGCAATCCAAGGTCTTACTGTATAAGGTTTTGTTTATGACTAGATCATGAATGAGTTACGGACCTTGTGTGAGCAACTCCTCTCCGAGCTGCACCTCTTCCAGGAAGAACTTCTGCACAGCTTCAGGGTCCTTCATGTCAGGCAGCTTCACAGTGCGTGAACACACACAGATACAGAGGAACTAAAAACGACGATTTTTGTATTTTACCAGGTAAGGCCAATTGAGCTATATAGCTCTATTTCAGAAGCAACCTGGTTGTCGCAAAAATGATAGCTCAACGAAGTGGCTTATCACGTGGAAATTTATAGCAGCCAAATACTCTAAATGCAAGTTGTTGCTAAACGTGGAGGGATAAAACCAGAGGACCCTGATGAAAATGTACACGACCACGGGGAGAACATGCAAACTACAAATATACATATCCACTGCTAGACCAAGGCCGTATCTCTCAAGTTCTCGCGGTAACAGCAACCTGTTTAGCTCCAGCACACCAGCAGATGTAATCGCTCCGTCTCCGCCGCCGTGGACGTCCACGTATCTCCCCACGTGTTGTCCTGCATTTACATTCAGGTGGTCGTTTGCAGCTAGCAGGGCACCACTACCTTACGTCAAGAGAAGGTGAAAACAAAGAGCTACATCTGAAGTTACTTCAATTGGTCTCTATACACACGGGGGATGCTACGCGTTCCATGTGCCCTTTAGAGAGTGTTCGTTGCATGGCAATTCAAAATAAAATGTTGAACTTTCCAGACGCTGGAATTTAGCAAAATTGAAAAACCGAACTCATGGGTTTTTGTGTTTGTGGTGTGCGGTCATTGGTGACCAAGCTGAGACAATTAGCTCACTACGCATGAGAAACCGGGTTAATCACCAATTGGCCTGCTGAAACCCGAATTCAAAGCCCCGAAACTTCAGCGTTGCTGCAGTCTCTCTGCGTCTCTGACTCGGCTATTATGACCCTCCTAAAATATGTGTCACAGTGGGCAGCACAAGTGGCGGCGTCTCTCAGTCGCCTCTGGCAGTGAACCCATAACACCGGGGTCTTCCCCGTGACCTCCTTGGCAGCAGAGAGCCTTCGACACTTCGCGTGGTCTTAAAAGGTGCACCTAGACTGGTGACGCCACCGCCACTTAGTGGCGAATGGCCGCTGTTGTTTTGTTTTACCGAACCTTGGGCACGTTGGATAGCTCCTGGTTTTGCTGCATGCGTTTCCTCCCTGTAAACAACAACAACAACCACATTTATCCACCAGTCACAGAAACAGCCGACGTCCAATGGCAAACCCCGGCACCTGTGATTGGCACGGTTGGCTACGTACGGTGCGAAAGAAGTTCAACATACAGGACATACACTCACTCATAAAGTGGCGAGCAATCTGGCCTCGGAAGCTCAATTATTGTTTGAATGATTTGTTTACAAATATTAATGTTTCCCACAGGCTAGCAAGGGTATGTTTAGAAACGCTGACGTAGAAATGTAAAGGGCTAGACAAGGATGGACACTGTAATGCCAGTTCATGATAATCGCAAATGGCCTAACAAAGTTGGGCCTCGTACAGTACTGTCCAACACTGCACTAGGAAATTAGGCTAAAAAAGGGTCTAGAAAGCATCTGGTAAATAACACTAGGGGTCTAACACCACTGTAATAAGAAGTGGACTTGCACGGCTATAGTGAATAACACACATGTCCTAGCACAGCTATCGTTAATAACATACGTGGCCTAGCATGGCTCTATTTAATAATAACATGGCCTAGCACGGCTCTTGCTAATAACACACAGGGCCTAGCACGGTACTTGCTAATAACACACAGGAGCTAGCACGGCTCTAGTTAACAACACACAGGGCCTAGCACGGCTCTAGTTAATAACACACAGGGCCTAGCACGGCTCTAGTTAATAACACACAGGGTCTAGCACAGCTCTAGTTAACAACACACAGGGCCTAGCACGGCTCTAGTTAACAACACACAGGGCCTAGCACGGCTCTAGTTAACAACACACAGGGCCTAGCACGGCTCTAGTTAACAACACACAGGGCCTAGCACGGCTCTAGTTAACAACACACAGGGCCTAGCACGGCTCTAGTTAACAACACACAGGGCCTAGCACGGCTCTAGTTAACAACACACAGGGCCTAGCACAGCTCTAGTTAACAACACACAGGGCCTAGCACGGCTCTAGTTAATAACACACAGGGCCTAGCACGGCTCTAGTTAACGACACACAGGGCCTAGCACGGCTCTAGTTACCAACACACAGGGCCTAGCACGGCTCTAGTTAACAACACACAGGGCCTAGCACGGCTCTAGTTAACGACACACAGGGCCTAGCACGGCTCTAGTTAACGACACACAGGGCCTAGCACGGCTCTAGTTAACAACACACAGGACCTAGCACGGCTCTAGTTAACGACACACAGGACCTAGCACGGCTCTAGTTAACAACACACAGGGCCTAGCACGGCTCTAGTTAACGACACACAGGGCCTAGCACGGCTCTAGTTAACAACACACAGGGCCTAGCACGGCTCTAGTTAACGACACACAGGGCCTAGCACGGCTCTAGTTAACGACACACAGGACCTAGCACGGCTCTAGTTAACAACACACAGGGCCTAGCACGGCTCTAGTTAACAGCACACAGGGCCTAGCACGGCTCTAGTTAACGACACACAGGGCCTAGCACGGCTCTAGTTAACAACACACAGGGCCTAGCACGGCTCTAGTTAACGACACACAGGGCCTAGCACGGCTCTAGTTAACAACACACAGGGCCTAGCACGGCTCTAGTTAATAACACACAGGGCCTAGCACGGCTCTAGTTAACGAAACACAGGGCCTAGCACGGCTCTAGTTAACAACACAGGGCCTAGCACGGCTCTAGTTAACGACACACAGGGACCTAGCACGGCTCTAGTTAATAACACACACGGCCTAGCACGGCTCTAGTTAATAACACACAGGGCCTAGCACGGCTCTAGTTAACGACACACAGGGCCTAGCACGGCTCTAGTTAACAACACAGGGCCTAGCACGGCTCTAGTTAACGACACACAGGGACCTAGCACGGCTCTAGTTAATAACACACACGGCCTAGCACGGCTCTAGTTAATAACACACAGGGCCTAGCACGGCTCTAGTTAACGACACACAGGGCCTAGCACGGCTCTAGTTAACAACACACAGGGCCTAGCACGGCTCTAGTTAACAACACACAGGGCCTAGCACGGCTCTAGTTAACAACACACAGGGCCTAGCACGGCTCTAGTTAACAACACACAGGGCCTAGCACGGCTCTAGTTAACAACACACAGGGCCTAGCACGGCTCTAGTTAACGACACACAGGGCCTAGCACGGCTCTAGTTAACGACACACAGGGCCTAGCACGGCTCTAGTTAACAACACACACGACCTAGCACGGCTCTAGTTAACGACACACAGGACCTAGCACGGCTCTAGTTAATAACACACAGGGCCTAGCACGGCTCTAGTTAACGACACACAGGGCCTAGCACGGCTCTAGTTAATAACACACAGGGATTAGCACGGCTCTAGTTAACAACACACAGGGCCTAGCACGGCTCACGTTGGCGCAGCTTGCTCTTGAAGTCGGGGGCGTTCCGTCGCTTGCGGTCGAAGTAGAAGCAGTAGGCCAGGAAGACGGCGCCACACAGCCCCGCGGCAATCGCTCCTCCACGGCTCACCATGCCCAACACCATCGCTACCCACCCAACAGCAGCAACACTAACTCAGCAACACTGCAGGCCTCAACGCTCGCCTCTTGTACAGCCACACAGGGGGGGGTTCTGAGCACCGCTTCTGCCGTTCTCGCGCGCGAATGGAATGACAAACGCGATGGGGTCTGGAGCACTGTTCTAGTCGTTAACGCGGCGGCAGGAGCAACAACAATATTGATGATGATGATGGCGATGATGATGATGTTGTTGTTGTTGGAGGCGGGAGGACTCCACGCCCCCTGGGCCTGGGGAACTGCCCCTGGCAACGGGGATTTCCTTCGCGACGGCGACGTCACTGGTTATGTCGGTCTATCCTTATATGGGCATTCTGGTGACGCTTATGGTCGTACAGCAGAGCTGACAAACCCCGTACGGTTTAACCCCGTATTATTGTACGGGGAAATTGAGTTTTGAGGTCCATACGGCGTACAGCCGTTTCGATACGGGCAAAAAAGAATGTTGTCTATTTGTTTGTGTTAACCCCTCGTGATGGGACTTGGTAGGATGAACGTTGAAATTTATAAGGGGCACGGTGTGACCAATAAGGTCTGAATTGGTCTGTAATAAGGTAGGGCACTGATAAGGGGTTGACAGGTATGGTACATTTGACATTGCCCTAATTCCAGAGGTGAGCAAACGAAAATAAGAATAAGAGACATTTTTTTAAAATAGAATTCGGTAAAAAACTAAATATTTCAAGAGCCGCACCAATGCACCGTGTGGTGAATACGAGACGTCAAGAAGTAGCCCTTTAAAGAGCCGCATGCGGCTCCGGAGCCGCAGGTTGCCAACCCCTGGCTCTAACTCCTGGAGCCGCAGGTTGCCAACCCCTGGCTCTAACTCCTGGAGCCACAGGTTGCGAACCCCTGGCTCTTACTCCTGGAGCCGCAGGGTGCCAACCCCTGGCTCTAACTCCTGGAGCCACAGGGTGCCAACCCCTGGCTCTAACTCCTGGAGCCGCAGGGTGCCAACCCCTGGCTCTAACTCCTGGAGCCGCAGGTTGCCAACCCCTGGCTCTAACTCCTGGAGCCGCAGGTTGCCAACCCCTGGCTCTAACTCCTGGAGCCACAGGGTGCCAACCCCTGGCTCTAACTCCTGGAGCCGCAGGGTGCCAACCCCTGGCTCTAACTCCTGGAGCCACAGGGTGCCAACCCCTGGCTCTAACTCCTGGAGCCGCAGGTTGCCAACCCCTGGCTCTAACTCCTGGAGCCACAGGGTGCCAACCCCTGGCTCTAACTCCTGGAGCCGCAGGGTGCCAACCCCTGGCTCTAACTCCTGGAGCCACAGGGTGCCAACCCCTGGCTCTAACTCCTGGAGCCGCAGGGTGCCAACCCCTGGCTCTAACTCCTGGAGCCACAGGTTGCGAACCCCTGGCTCTAATTCCTCACCAGCCACAGCGCCTCCTCCTGGCTTCCACGCACAATGCCAAAGGCGCTGTAATAATGGTACGGCCCAACGTGTAAAAATGCAGGTCTCTCCCGAGTCTTGAGACTCATTACATATATCATTATTATTTTTCGATTGCTCTCAGCGGATTGATTATGGTCGTGGCAGTTGAAGCCACGCCAGCCCTAAAGATCACCGCCACAAACTAGTTCTGCCCGTCCACAAACTTGGGTTTGTCTTGGGATTGTGTTTTTTTAAGTGCCGGCGAAACTTGGCAACTCTGTGCTAAAGCCAAGTTTAAGGTGAGTGAGAGATCGTTGAGTTGGTAGAGTATAACTTATCCACACCGCAAAGGGTTCAAATCATAGGGATAAACCCAAGAAACTGAGACAGAACCCCAAGAAACGGAGGCAGAAACCTAAGAAACGAAAACAGAACCCCAAGAAACGGAGACAGAAACCCAAGAAACGGAGACAGAAACCCAAGAAACGGAAACAGAAACCCATGAAACTGAGACAGAAACCCAAGAAACGGAAACAGAAATCCAAGAAACTGAGACAGAAACCCAAGAAACTGAGACAGAAACTCAAGAAACTGAGACAGAACCCCAAGAAACGTAGCCAGAACCCCAAGAAACGGAGACAGAAACCCAAGAAACGGGGACAGAACCCCAAGAAAAGGAGACAGAATCCCAAGAAACTGAGACAGAAACCCAAGAAACCGAGACAGCAAACCAAGAAACGGAGACAGAAACCCAAGAAACGGGAACAGAACCCCAAGAAACGGAGACAGAAATCCAAGAAACGGAGACAGAAAGCCAAGAAACGGAGACAGAAACCCAAGAAACGGAGACAGAACCCCAAGAAACTGAGACAGAACCCCAAGAAACGGAGACAGAAACCCAAGAAACGGAGACAGAACCCCAAGAAACGGAGACAGAACCCCAAGAAACGGAGGCAGAATCCCAAGAAACTGAGACAGAACCCCAAGAAACGGAGACAGAACCCCAAGAAACGGAGACAGAAACCCAAGAAACTGAGACAATCCCAAGAAACTGAGCCAGAAACCCAAGAAACGGAGACAGAACACCAAGAAACTGAGACAGAAACCCAAGAAACTGAGATAGAAACCCAAGAAACGGAGAAAGAAACCCCAAGAAACGGAGACAGAACCCCAAGAAACGGAGACAGAAACCCAAGAAACTGAGCCAGAAACCCAAGAAACGGAGACAGAACACCAAGAACCTGAAACAGAAACCCAAGAAACTGAGATAGAAACCCAAGAAACGGAGAAAGAAACCCCAAGAAACGGAGACAGAAACCCAAGAAACGGAGACAGAAACCCAAGAAACGGAGACAGAAACCCAAGAAACTGAGACAGAACCCCAAGAAACGGAGACAGAAACCCAAGAAACGGAGACAGAAACCCAAGAAACGGAGACAGAAACCCAAGAAACTGAGACAGAACCCCAAGAAACGGAGACAGAAACCCAAGAAACGGAGACAGAAACCCAAGAAACGGAGACAGAATCCCAAGAAACTGAAATAGAAACCCAAGAAACTGAAGAAACCCTCAAGGAACTGCAAAGAATCAGAATATTTAGGAGGAATCCGATTAGCTATAAAGCTCTTTTTTCCACAGATGTCCAGTAGGGGCGGGTAAGAACGTTACAACGATACAAAAAAAACACGATCGTAGTTCCAAGTACAAGAAAGGTCAAATAAAAATTCACCCAAAACGCAGACAAATACTCAAGCGAAACCATCGACATCCTACCCACTGAACTTTTTACTTATTTTTCAGAAGCCGCAAACGACTCGATCACAATACCCTCTTAGAGCAGCGATATAATCATAATAATGAGACCTGCTTTGGTTTTGCTTCGTGTGAATATTGGAACATTAGTAAATGAATAACCTTTGAGAATGTTGGTGCGTGTGTTTGTGTATTTTTGTGTGGTGTGGAGCGCGCTACGCGACGAACCCGGCCACCCGAGTTTCGATTCCCGCTCACGGCCAACAACCGGTGACGATTATTTGAACCGGTCCTGGGCCTCCCCTAGATCGACTCGGCCTCAAATGAGTACCTGGTGTAGCGGTGTGTAAACATCGCCACTGGGGGGAGCCAAAGGCGGCCAGGCGTGGTGCTGGCCACCCACCCCACCTCGTGCACCAAAGTGGCCGGCCTTCATAGGTGCTCGCTAACAGCACTTGCAACCCAACAATCTGTTAGGCTGTGCCGGGGGAGGGGAGGTGTGGGTAGATCTTTGTCTCTGTATTCTCGGTAATGGGTGGAGTTGGGAGAGGTTTGCAGGATCGGTTCTGCCAAGCGCGACTGTAATAACCCCGGCTTGGAATTTAGGAAATCATTAATTTGCCTTTGGCACGTTGCGCCCGTGCGCATCCCCCCACGCACGGTGAGTGGTCGCTCTCTCTCTCCAGACGGAAATTCCACCGTAACTTGCACCTCTCCCAAAGGGTCAATCAAGCGATCTTCATGGTAAGAATACGCATGTATGCTGTGCACTCACACACATACAAATGCATATGGTCACACATACACACACGAGTGCATACCGTACCAGGTGGCTCATTTAAGGCTGAGTCGACTATGTTGAACTTTCTGGCGCACCGTACGTAGCCCACCGTGCTAATCGGAGGTGCGGGGGAAGGACAAGAAACTATGGGTCTCTGTGTGAGTCTATGGATCTCTGTGTGGGTCTGTGGGTCTCTGTGTGAGTCTGTGGGTCTCTGCGTGAGTCTGTGGGTCTCTGTGTGAGTCTGTGGGTCTCTGCGTGAGTCTGTGGGTCTCTGAGTCTATGGGTCTCTGTGTGAGTCTGTGGGTCTCTGTGTGAGTCTGTGGGTCTCTGTGTGAGTCTGTGTGTCTCTGCGTGAGTCTGTGGGTCTCTGCGTGAGTCTGTGGGTCTCTGTGTGAGTCTGTGGTGTCTCTGTGTGAGTCTATGGGTCTCTGTGTGAGTCTATGGGTCTCTGTGTGAGTCTATGGGTCTCTGTGTGAGTCTATGGGTCTCTGTGTGAGTTTGTGGGTCTCTGCGAGTTTGTGGGTTTCTGTATGAGTCTGTGAGTCTGTGTGAGTATGTGGGTGTCCATGTGAGTCTGTGGGTCTCTGTATGAGTCTGTGGGTCTCTGTGTATATGTATGTTGAACTTCTTTCGCGCCGTACGTAGCCAGCCGTGCTCATCGGAGGTGCGGGGGAAGGACAAGGACATTGGATGCGGAGCTCATCGGAGGTGGGCACCGGTGAAAGTAAGCTGTGTTTTGGTCTAATAGGCACATGAAGAGGGGAAAGACTGAATTGGGCGAACCAAGCTGTAGATAACCGGCAAAAGCTTTACAGCTAATCGACATTCCACCATATATAAAGATTCTGATTCTAAATGTAACATCATATTGTTGCGCATGATGGCACCATCGTATGTTCAGGGGCAAAATGTCAATGTCGAGGTCTTGCTGCTGGCCGTGACGAGAGGGCTTCAGGAGAGAGTTCGTGTCGCGTTGATGTTTCTCCTCCTCTGCTGAAGGAACGCTGACTACCAGTGGGCTTCCTGTGCTGTCCGTAGTTTTGGCTGCATCACCACAATCGCACCACCGTGGCTCGCTGTCTTTAATTTTCTATTGATGAAGACGATGTGCGCATCGGCCTGTTGGAGATGGGGGGGGGGTGATGGTACACCAGTAGTACTACACCACTGCGTATGCCATTGGCACGGTGGCGAGGTGTTAACTCCCCTCATCTGGACGTGGGTTCAATCCCGACCCTGACGCTTGCTATTTGGAGTTTGCGGTGTGTCGCTCTCTCTCTCTCTCTCTCCCCGTGTTGACGTCGATTTTTCTCCGGGTCCTCCAATTTTCTCCTCAACATTTACAAACATGCGTTTTAGAGTATTTGACCTGCTGTAAATTTCGACGCGATGAGCCACTTCGTCGATCTAACATTCGTGATAGCCAGGTCGCTTTTGAAAAAGAGCTTGTACAGCTCAGTGGGCATTACCTGGTAGAACAAAACATATATGATCTTATTCTTGGTTCTTTCGGTAAAGTCACGTTGAAGAGAAACAATAAAATAATAAAATATATATATAAAACAATAAAAACAAACCGCCACTTCTTTCAAATGTTTCTTGCCGTTGGTTTTCACACCTGATGATGACTACTTGTGTTACAGTCGAAACGTCGTGAGAATTTTATTGTTTTATATATATTTTATTATTTTATTGCTTCCCTTCAACGTGACTTTACCGAAAGAACCAAGAATATGAATCACTGCAGTCACGAAAGCTTTGAATCAAAAATATATGATCTTATTCATATTCTTGGTTCTTTCGGTAAAGTCACGTTGAAGGGAAACAATAGAATAATAAAACTATTAAACAACATATGATCTTGATACGAGTGATGATGTTGCAGCAAGAATTATGATACAAGAGTCATAAATAGCTACCAGCTGTGATGATGATCATACAAGATGATGACAGCAGCATGATTGATTGGTCATGGTACTATTATGAATATGCTTATTTACAAAGGAAATCCTGAGTACATCACCTTTCCAGGAGGGTCCTGTCAAGTTTTCGCAACTAGGCAGAGTGTGGTGGTGTGGGGCGATGGTTTATTACGTGATTTACAATCAAGTATCGGGTAATTTGCGATGCAATTCTTGTTAAACTCGGACCGTGACGTTGGCGGTGCACAATGGCCTGCTCTTGCAAACGACGTCACTCCACAACGGAGCAGACGGTGCGTTGTATTTTTGTTTATTTATCACGATGCTGCGGGTGACACATACGCCTTCAAACATGATTTTCAACGGAGATGAATGATGATGATGGTGACGATGCTGCTGCTGCTGCTGCCAGCAACACCGCTCACGATGTACCGGTCCCCATTTCCCAGCTTGACCTCGGGGTCTCCACGAGGTCCAGCGAAGAAGCCTCTCCTCCTCATCTCCTCCTCGTCTCACTATCGCCACGAGAGCTCCTCACCGAGGGTTGAGTGGAGGTGGACTAGAGCGTGGATTATAGGCGGGCTTCGGGGATCCATTCGGTCGTGGGAGGCTGAATGACCTCTGTGTATCTCACCGATCAAGGGACGGACAGAGGATTGAGTGCGGGTTGAGTGGAGGACGGGAGGCGGACGGACCCGAGGTGAAATGGGAGCAGGGAGCTCGACCTCCCGAACCAGGGTCCGTCGCATCGCCGTATCCCAGCTCCCCCCAGCGGCAGCAACTGGGGACCCCGCTACGACCCCGGCGACCCTCAAAACGGGACCCTTCGAACGCAACCGCGTCCCCTTTTCGCCCGGCCACGCCGCCGCCGCCGCCGCCGCGGGGGTCCGCCCGTCCGGGGTGTCAGCGGCGTGGGGGTCTCCTGGGGTACCAGCCGGGGACCCCCGAGCCGAGCTGCCCAGGGTTAGGGCTCCCCGAGGGATGGAGGGGACCACGCGACACGCGGGCCCCCGATCTCTGCCATCTTTGCCCCGACTGCTCCCGCGAAGCTTTGGTGCAGGTGAGTGAGAGCCTGCGTTGCGTGCGTGTCTCTCCTAGGTCGACTCAGCCTCAAACGAGTATCTGGTGTGGGGAGACAAAGGTGGCCGGCGTGGTAATTGCCATGCCTTAATAGGCGCTCGCTAACGTCACTTGCCCCAACAGTCTGTGTGCGTGGTGAGGTGTCTATGAATGTGTTGAGTGGAAGAATCGACACGGAGACGTCTCTTCTGGTAAGGGCTCACGCCAGGTTTATATAGGGGCTTACGCCTAACAGTTATTATGGACTACCGTACAACTCCCCAGGGAAAGGGTACTGGGAGGTCCCTAGCACCCACCCAGGCTATTCAGGCTCTTCCCTCAGCACCGACCGAGGGATCAGCCAACTCGGTCGGCCGTGTGAAGCAGCCCCCCTAGCCTGGTGCTAATTTCCCCCTACCCTGGGTCCCCACGTCTAACCTCTCTGTTCCCGGCCCCTCACAACGACCTCGTTCACGTCACCCGTCTCCGCTTATATATCCCCGGGTGACAAGCCGTCATCCATTTTACACCCCAGGGTGACATTACGTCATCAACTACTCCACAACAAATGTGTCGATTTTGATTTAAAGCTTTCGTGACTGCAGGGATTCATATTCTTGGTTCTTTTGGTAAAGTCACGTAGAAGGGAAACAAAAAAATTATAAAAATATAAAACAATAAAATTCTCACGACGTTAAAAAACCGCCACTTTTTTCAAATTTTCTTGCTGTAGTTTTCACACCTGATGATGATTGCTTGTGTTCGACTGCAACACAAGCAATCATCATCAGGTGTGAAAACCACAGCAAGAAAATTTGAAAAAAGTGGCGTTTTTTAACGTCGTGAGAATTGTATTGTTTTATATTTTTATAATTTTATTGTTTCCCTTCTACGTGACTTTACCGAAAGAACCAATAATATAAATGTGTTGATGTGCGAGCGTGCGTCGTCTGTCTGTGTGTTTGTCTTTCAGTCTATTGCCTAGCCTAGGGGCCGGGCAACCAAAATCACAAACAAGAGTCAATTTTTGCTTAAAGCTTTCGTGACTGCAGGAATTCATATTCTTTGGGTCTTTCGGTAAACCCTTTATACAGTGAGGGAAAAAAGTATTTGATCCCCTGCTAATTTTGTACGTTTGCCCACTGACGAAGAAATGACCAGTCTATAATTTTAATGGTAGGTTTATTTGAACAGTGAGAGACAATAACAACAAAATCCAGAAAAACGCATGTCAAAAATGTTATAAATTGATTTGCATTTTAATGAGGCAAATAAGTATTTGACGCCCTCTCAATCAGAAAGATTTCTGGCTCCCAGTGTCTTTTATACAGGTAACGAGCTGAGATTAGGAGCACACTCTTAAAGGGAGTGCTCCTAATCTCAGCGTGTTACCTGTATAAAAGACACTTGTCCACAGAAGCAATCAATCAATCAGATTCCAAACTCTCCACCATGGCCAAGACCAAAGAGCTCTCCAAGGATGTCAGGGACAAGATTGTAGACCTACACAAGGCTGGAATGGGCTACAAGACCATTGCCAAGCAGCTTGGTGAGAAGGTGACAACAGTTGGTGCAATTATTCGCAAATGGAAGAAACACAAAAGAACCGTCAATCTCCCTCGGCCTGGGGCTCCATGCAAGATCTCACCTCGTGGAGTTGCAATGATAATGAGAACGGTGAGGAATCAGCCCAGAACTACACGGGAGGATCTTGTCAATGATCTCAAGGCAGCTGGGACCATAGTCACCAAGAAAACAATTGGTAACACACTACACCGTGAAGGACTGAAATCCTGCAGCGCCCGCAAGGTCCCCCTGCTCAAGAAAGCACATATACATGCCCGCCTGAAGTTTGCCAATGAACATCTGAATGATTCTGAGGACAACTGGGTGAAAGTGTTGTGGTCAGGAGACCAAAATTGAGCTCTTTGGCATCAACTCAACTCGCCGTGTTTGGAGGAGGAATACTGTCTATGACCCCAAGAACACCATCCCCACCGTCAAACATTGAGTTGGAAACATTATGCTTTGGGGGTGTTTTTTCTGCTAAGGGGACAGGACAACTTCACCGCATCAAAGGGACGATGGACGGGGCCATGTACCGTCAAATCTTGGGTGAGAACCTCCTTCCCTCAGCCAGGGCATTGAAAATTGGTCGTGGATGGGTATTCCAGCATGACAATGACCCAAATCACACGGCCAAGGCAACAAAGGAGTGGCTCAAGAAGAAGCACATTTATGTCCTGGAGTGGCCTAGCCAGTCTCCAGACCTTAATCCCATAGAAAATCTGTGGAGGGAGCTGAAGGTTCGAGTTGCCAAACGTCAGCCTCGAAACCTTAATGACTTGGAGAAGATCTGCAAAGAGGAGTAGGACAAAATCCCTCCTGAGATGTGTGAAAACCTGGTGGCCAACTACAAGAAACGTCTGACCTCTGTGATTGCCAACAAGGGTTTTGCCACCAAGTACTAAGTCATATTTTGCAGAGGGGTCAAATACTTATTTCCCTCATTAAAATGCAAATCAATTCATAACATTTTGACATGCGTTTTTCTGGATTTTTCTTGTTATCCTGTCTCTCACTGTTCAAATAAACCTACCATTAAAGTTATAGACTGATCATTTCTTTGTCAGTGGGCAAACGTACAAAATCAGCAGGGGATCAAATACTTTTTTCCCTCACTGTAACTCCCTGCCTTAGCAGCGCTGCCACCATATATTCTCAGCAGCTCTCCCGCTATATTTTTTCACCTGATGACGATTGCTTGTGTTGCGATAGAAACGTCATGAAATTGTTATTTTTAAAAATTATTTGTTCTATGTACATGGCTTTACCGAAATACTCTATTTGTTTCGAATCCGGTAACAACTTTTTATACATATATTTCAAGAGCTGCAATGCATGTGAATACAAGACGGTCCTTAAAGATCCACAGGTTTCCAACCCCTGGCCTAGACACTCCACCAGAGACCGAGTTTGTCAGTCTTGTCTGGTCGACAAACCATCGGAGACACCGTCAAAAAACGGTCTATCCGTCATTGACTAGCCACCTCCATCAGAGACCAAGTCTATCATTGAGACTCCATCAAATACTTGGTCTGTCTCTCTGTCTTCTCGTCTGTCGTTTTAACAATCTACAGCGATATTTTACTCACGCCACCCGCACTTTTCCCTCTCTCTCTGTCTGTCTTTGTGAGCAAATGCAGTGGTAGCGATTGCTCCGGCTGGCGAAACCTCCACAAAAGCTTGCAGCAGCAGCAGCAGCATCATTCACGCTCACCCGCCTCGCCTCGTCCGGGTAATAAACACAAACAACAACAACAACAACAACATATTCTTCTTCTATCGGTAAAGTCAACAGCAATCGGTCACAACAACAATCGGTCACCGTTTTCGTTTTGAGAGACGCTTCCCTAGCAACGAACGGCTCTCGCCTTCCAGTGACGCCATTTCCTTTCTAGATTTGAAGCTTTCGTGACTGCAAGGATCCATACTCTTTGGTTCTATTCGGTAAAGTCACGTAGGTAAAAAAATAAAACAGCAAAAATCACGACGTTTCGGCCACAACACAAGTGGCCTTCATCAGGTGAAGGGACCGTGCTGTCACGAAGACAGCGTAGGAATTAAGAAAGTCAAGCCAGGTCGCGTCCTTTAAGCTGTGTGGGAGGAAACAAACGCTTTGACAAAGGAATTAGCATAAAGTGCTGATAGAGCACCAAACACGGGGGGGAGGGGGAGGGGAGTTTACAAACGTTGTTTTGAAGGGAAATAAGCTGCTGTGAACGTTTGGTATATCACTACTTGGATAAATATATTTTACCATTGAAAATTAGTTTAATGTTTGGTATGATTTAGAACATCTTTCCAATGATTGCTTAACTTGAAACCATCTTCTCGGTTGAAATTGTGTCTGTGTTTGTAAATCTGAAAAAAATCTATAGGTTATCATCAGAGATTTGTCCACGAGGCAATTCAGATGTACAAACACAGACACAATTTCAACCGAGAAGATGGTTTCAAATTAATCAATCATTGGAAAGATGTTCTAAATCATACCAAACATTAAACTTATTTTCAATGGTACAGTATATTTATCCAAGTAGTGATATACCAAACTTTCACAGCAGCTTATTTCCCTTCAAAACAACGTTTGTAAACTCCCCTCCCCCCCGTGTTTGGTGCTCTATCAGCACTTTATGCTAATTCCTTTGTCAAAGCGTTTGGTTTCCTTCCACACAGCTTAAAGGACGCGACCTGGCTTGACTTTCTTAATTCCTACGCTGTCTTCGTGACAGCACGGTCCCTTCACCTGATGAAGGCCACTTGTGTTGTGGCCGAAACGTCGTGATTTTTGCTGTTTTATTTTTTACCTTCGTGACTTCACCGAATAGAACCAAAGAGTATGACGCCATTTCCTGTTTGGTGCATCACTTCCTGTTGACCTGGGCTTGGGTCATGATTGGCTGCGGTCGCGTATAAATTGAGGCTGGAGAAACCGGAAGTGGTTGCGGAAGAGGTGGGAGTACCCACGCTTTACCCCACCCTTCGAAGGGCTGTTGTACGTATACCGATTCATGCTGCTGGGTGGACAGAGGCGGAGAGATTCAGAAAAAATTGGCCCATTGTTGCAACTGCCACGCCGGGGGATGAAATCAAACCTGCCTTGGATTGCAATAACAAAGACATTACCTTTTGCATTGTACCGTTTATGCAGTGACTTACGACTTTAAGGTTATATATGCATAACTCTACTAAATGGCATATCCGTTTGAGTACAGTAATAACGCTGATTTATGTCTTCCCCTTATACGTCGTTTTGCAAATACATCGTCATTTCATTATTAATACCACTACCTGTTTTGTGTCGCCTCAACTCTACATTTACAACACTGGCCTTGATTTACATCGTTTCAGTATTCGTCGTCGCACCTCTCAGGAACGTAACTTATACAGATCATATTCTTGGTTCTTTCGGTAAAGTCACGTAGAAGGGAAACAATAAAATAATAAAAATATAAAACAATAAAATTCTCACGACGTTTCGACTGCAATACAAGCAATCATCATCAGGTGTGAAAACCACAGCAGGAAAATTTGAAAAAAGTGGTGGGTTTTTTTAAGGTTAGCACCACGGAGAGCGATTTGGCAGTTGTTCAGATGGACGAGTCCATCTATGTTCGGAAAAGAGGAGGGGGGAGACGAAAATAATGGATGCGGTCTGAAAGCCACCGTAAGCGTGAACAATCAATTAAGACCCGAAAAATGGTTTATCAAATCCTTCCAATGATTGCTAAGCCAGAATCCATCTTCTCGGTTCAAATTGTCTCTGTGTTGGTATATGTGGATAGCCTCATGAACGAATCTCTCATGGTAGCCAGATGGCTTGCAAAGAACCTCCGTCACTTTTTTTCAAATTTTCTTGCTGTGGTTTTCACACCTGATGATGATTGTTTGTGTTGCAGTCGAAACGTCGTGATAATTTTATTGTTTATATTTTTATTATCTTATTGTTTCCCTTCTACGTGGCTCTACCGAAAGAACCAAGAATATGAATCCCTGCAGTCACGAAAGCTTTAAATAAAAATTTATACAGATCATTTAAGTAATCGGTTTCTGTGTCATGATGTGCCTATATGTATGTATGTATGTTGAACTTCTTTCGTGCAGTATGTAGGCAACCGTGCTCATCGGAGATGCGGGGGAAGGACAACAATTTTAACACAAAAAGTAGTTCTGAAAATACGAGTTTTTAATTTGGATGATTGGAAAGTGCTTAGCTCCAGTGGATTTCTAATATCGGAAGGAACAGCGTTCCAGACGGCTGCGGAAGCGCACCCGAAAGCGCGTCATGCAGTGACTGCCGTTGTTCGATGGCTGAGCTAAAAGGCCTCTGCGAGGATGACCGGATTTCGCTTGATGGTTTATTCCTCGTGCGTTCCATCAAAATGTCTCCATAGCGACTTCAGGAGCCGCTGCCCTCGGCCTCGAGCTCCACGCCACACGAGGCCCCGAGCAGGCAGGGTCAACGCGCCCCCATCTCCAATCTCGGCGGTGAGCAGAAGCCCCCTCTGTGTCTTGAGACTCAGCAAGGCCTTGCCTCCCGTTAACCGACTAGGAGGGACAACCGCAAGCCGGGCAGCCTCACAGCCATTGTTACATTCGTAAAGCGCACAAACAGATCGTTCTATCGAGATAATTCTGAAAGTAACGGTAGTTTTATAAGACGTGCCTTATTCGTGGAGTAAGACAAAGATTCCCCCATATAACTTTTTGTGCAAGTGCTGTTAGCGATTAGCACCTATGAAGGCCGGCATGGCACATGAAGGGGGTGGGTGGCCAGCAACCACGCCTGACCTCTGTCTCCCCAGTGGCGATGTTTACACACCACACCGGATACTTATTTGAGGCTGAGTCAACCTGGAGGAGGCCCAGGACCTGTTCAGATAAATCGTCATTGGTGTTGTCGGTCGTGAGTAGGAATCAAACTCAATTCGCCGGGTTTGTAGCACAGTGCTCTAACCACTGCGTCACCGCTCCTGACAAACGGTGGTGTGGCGCGCGTCCCAGCGGTGATGGTGCTCGGTCAATTTGCGCGAACCAACTCATGCGAACTAACTTGCGTGAACTCCACACACACACACACACCACAGGCCTCGTGACCCGGGTCCCAGATGACGCAGGGGTCGCAGGGGTCGCAGGGGTCGGACTCCACGGCGTCCCGATCCGTGAACTCCAAAGCTCCGATGACAGCGAGCTGGACTCCTGGACAAGTAAGCACGGTGCGACGAGGAGGGCTACGACGATGACGAGCAGGAGAAGGAGGAAGAGGATGAGGACGAGACGATACGGGCAGGGCGAAGGCACGGAGGAGCGAGGGACGGGACGAGGCCTGGTGAGGACCCACGCGGAGGAGATCCCGATGATCGACGCCTTCTTTGATCAGCCCCTACCGGCGCTCACGTAGGGGCCGCTGGGCGCAAGCGGTGGCAAGATGTTACCTACCTCGCCTGGTATACAGGAGGTCGTGGGTACGATCCTGACCCCGACGATGCTTGTATATTTGGAGTTTGCATGTGTGGATTTTTCTCCGGGTCCTCCGGTTTTTCCCTCAATATTTAGGATCAACCGTGCGTTTCCAGTATTTGGCTGATTTAAATTTCCACATGACGATAAGACACTTTGTAAGAGCTATCACTTGTGATGGCCAGATCGCGTTTGAAAAACAGCTACATATAATTCTAGATTTAAAGCTTTCGTGACTGCAAGGATCCATACTCTTTGGTTCTATTCGGTAAAGTTTTTTATTTATTCGGTAAAGTTTTTTTTATTTTTTACCTACGTGACTTTACCGAATAGAACCAAAGAGTATAGCTACATATAACTCAGTGGGCCTTACCTGGTAAAATAAAAATAGTTAAGATTTTTACTTTAGTGATCGCCGTGCAGCGCGATGCGTGGACACGCGCAGAGGAGACCCCCGTGCTGTGTCGCACGGCCTGGTCGTAGTGTCAACTCTCCGTGTATTTTCCCTTCAGTGCCCATGAATGAGGTGTACAAATAATTACCAATTGCTTTCATATGCACTGGGTATGTCGATTAAAGCGCGAGGTTAAAAAAACACACAACTGGCAATGACCCGCGTCGTGAAATGATATTGCGTCGTCGTCACAGGATGTGTGTTTATGTACGTATCAATGTAAATTGTACTAAAACGTGAAGAAACCACGTACACATCGCTTGGAATGTTCACCACAATGGGAATAAAATGACACACTTACCTACGCGCGTAACATTCCCTTCGGGAAAAAATATATCAAGAGGTGGACCAACGCCTGCACCGCTGAGGACCTGGGTTCGAATCTGGGTTTTAGCCGCTGCCCGTGATTGAACCGGGTACTCAAGTGATAGTGAGTTTGTGGTCTCAGCCGGGTCACCCATCACAATTGGGCAGCTGAATACCGGATTGGTAGCCAGGATCAAAGCTACCCACTCCTTCAAGTGAACAGTTGCTCGACCAGTGTTCTTCACTAATTTTCAGAGGTGGGCCACTTTCGCCGATCATCAGTGTCAGGGCCACCACACATTTGAAACCACTGGGGTTTGACAGCAGCACGATGATGATCATGGGGGTGTTTTCACTGCTTCTGTATCGTCGGTGGGCGCCGCCAGTGGCCCGCGTACGAACGTAAGTCACTAGATGGCGCTACACACAGCTTCCAAAGCCCCGTCAATTAATGTCACCAGGCATGTTACGAAGTATCACATGGAGTGCTGTAGGCCGATTCAGAATGCTTTACACAACTCTGGAATCGCTCCTACATCTGCATCATGTCCTCATCCCACGCGGTCGCTAGATCCAGAGATAAGATCACGAAGGAAGTTGACAAACTGCCCAGGATCTCAGCGGCGCCAACTCAGTGTCTCTGACCTCTGACCTCCGAGCCACCCGGCCAGCTGCTGGCATTCCCTTTACTCAAGGAATCCACCTGAGGCTGGAAAAACCCGGAGCGGAGTTTGTAAACTATGGAACCCGGAGCTACAAACCACGACCAGTTGTGTAAATGTGCCGTTGTGTGCGACTGCAAAACCATGCCGGGCACTGCTCACAACACGAGGCACAACCTTTGGCACTTTTGAGAACGGTCCCTATCCCTCTACCGCAAGCGCGTTGTCTAATTGCGAGAGTGAGTGTGTCTGTTTGAAAGAGTGAGAGGTGTGCGTCTCAGTGTGAGGATGAGTGAGTGTGCGAGGTGTCTGATTGTGTGAGTGCGTGCGTGTGACATAACTTGCCTCAAAAGTCTGTTCAGGCTATACGGGGGGGAATCCTTGTCTTTGGGGGACTGGCTGCAGGATGAATAGGTTCAACACCAGCACTTGAACATTTCCACTTGGTACCCATCTGGTCACAACTTGACTGAGAAAAGCCACCACGTGACACAATTGCTGGGTCAATACACATGTATTATACACACACACACATATATACATACGTACACACACAAATATGCTGTCCGGACATTCATATGTAAACGTACACATGAAAGACCAAGAACTGGGTTCGTCTGTGTTGAAGCGCAGTCTGAAAATACGTTGTCACGAGCGACATTCGTGAACGTGCCCAGCCTCCCATCGCTTCCCGTGAAAAGGCAGCGTTTTGGTCTGTTCCTACACAATGGACTCTTGGGGCAAGTGCTGTTAGCGAGCAGCACCTATGAAGGCCGGCACGGCACACGAGGGGGTGGGTGGCTGGCACCACGCCCGGCCGCCTTTGTCTCCCCAGTGGCGATGTTTACACATATCGCTGCAGGTGCTCATTTCAGGCCCAATCGACCTAGGGGAGGCCCAGGACCAGTTCAAATAAACGCCACTGTTAGTGGTCGTGAGAGGGAATCAAACCCCGGATCGCCGGGTCCGCAGCACAGCGCGCTAAACACTGCACCACTGTTCCTCAATACATACATACACACCTACATACACTCGGCAACTTATATACAGTGAGGGAAAAAAGTATTTGATCCCCTGCTGATTTTGTACGTTTGCCCACTGGCAAATAAATGATCAGTCTATAATTTTAATGGTAGGTTTATTTGAACAGTGAGAGACAGAATAACAACAAAAATCCAGAAAAACGCATGTCAAAATGTTATAAATTGATTTGCATTTTAATGAGGGAAATAAGTATTTGACCCCTCTGCAAAACATGACTTAGTACTTGGTGGCAAACCCTTGTAGGCAATCACAGAGGTCAGACGTTTCTTGTAGTTGGCCACCAGGTTTTCACACATCTCAGGAGGGATTTTGTCCCACTCCTCTTTGCAGATCTTCTCCAAGTCATTAAGGTTTCGAGGCTGACGTTTGGCAACTCTAACCTTCAGCTCCCTCCACAGATTTTTGAAGGGATTAAGGTCTGGAGACTGGCTAGGCCACTCCAGGACCTTAATGTGCTTCTTCTTGAGCCACTCCTTTGTTGCCTTGGCCGTGTGTTTTGGGTCATTGTCATGCTGGAATACCCATCCACGACCCATTTTCAATGCCCTGGCTGAGGGAAGGAGGTTCTCACCCAAGATTTGACGGTACATGGCCCCGTCCATCATCCCTTTGATGCGGTGAAGTTGTCCTGTCCCCTTAGCAGAAAAAACACCCCCAAAGCATAATGTTTCCACCTCCATGTTTGACGGTGGGGATGGTGTTCTTGGGGTCATAGGCAGGATTCCTCCTCCTCCAAACACGGCGAGTTGAGTTGATGCCAAAGAGCTCCATTTTGGTCTCATCTGACCACAACACTTTCACCCAGTTGTCCTCTGAATCATTCAGATGTTCATTGGCAAACTTCAGACGGGCATGTATATGTGTTTTCTTGAGCAGGGGGACCTTGTGGGCGCTGCAGGATTTCAGTCCTTCACGGCGTAGTGTGTTACCAATTGTTTTCTTGGTGACTATGGTCCCAGCTGCCTTGAGATCATTGACAAGATCCTCCCGTCTAGTTCTGGGCTGATTCCTCACCGTTCTCATGATCATTGTAACTCCACGAGGTGATATCTCGCATGGAGTCCCAGGCCGAGGGAGATTGACAGTTCTTTTGTGTTTCTTCCATTTGCGAATAATCGCACCAACTGTTGTCACCTTCTCACCAAGCTTAGCAATGGTCTTGTAGCCCATTCCAGCCTTGTGTAGGTCTACAATCTTGTCCCTGACATCCTTGGAGAGCTCTTTGGTCTTGGCCATGGTGGAGTGTTTGTAATCTGATTGATTGATTGCTTCTGTGGACAGGTGTCTTTTATACAGGTAACAAACTGAGATTAGGAGCACTCCCTTTAAGAGTGTACTCCTAATCTCAGCTCGTTACCTGTATAAAAGACACTGGGAGCCAGAAATCTTTCTGATTTAGAGGGCGTCAAATACTTATTTGCCTCATTAAAATGCAAATCAATTTATAACATTTTTGACATGCGTTTTTCTGGATTTTGTTGTTGTTATTCTGTCTCTCACTGTTCAAATAAACCTACCATTAAAATTATAGACTGATCATTTCTTTGTCAGTGGGCAAACGTACAAATCAGCAGGGGATCAAATACTTTTTTCCCTCACTGTACATACGCACGCAAAAAAAGACGACGAATATCCCTCACGTATTTGTGCAGTGCTGTTAGCGAGCACCTATTAAGGCCTGGACGGCAAGCGATAGGTGTGGCGGGCCAGTACCATGCACGCCTGGACACCTTTGTTTCCTCAGGGCCAACGTGAACCACACCGCACAAAGTAATCGTTTTAGGCTGAGTCGACCTAGGGGAGACCCTGGATTTGTATCGCATACCTATACACATACAGCAAAATACATACATACATACCAATATTTACCCTTTTAGCACAACAGCCTGTCGGGGAACTTGATGTTAGCGAGCACCTATTAAGGCTGGCGCGGCACACGAGGGGGTGGTGTGGCCAGCAGCACGCCCCAACCACCTTTGTCACCCCAGTGCCGATGTTTAGCACACCGCAGCAGATACTCATTTGAGGCTGAATCAACCTAGGGGAGATCTAGCACAGATTTCAAATACCACTTGCCAACGATGCTCATTAGCCATTACATGTCCGGGAGTCGAACCCGGGGTGCTGGGATCGTAGGACGGGGTATAAACCGCCGACTCAATCGATTGGCACGCGTAGGCACGCACGCGCGTACGTGCATCGACCAGGAATGGGATCGAGGGAGATCAGAAGCGTGGATGTGAGCCCACACACACGAGTCCTCTGGCAGGACCCCTGTCAGCTTCAACTGCGCCGTGCAAGGGTGCCCAGGGAGCTATCGGCATCGTGAGCCGTGCTCTATCCACTGCCGGGTGAAGCGTAAAGTAAAAAAATACCCAGCAACACCCGCTTGCGGAAACTAAACACTGAGATTGCACGGGTCAAGCAAAAATGCATACGAGGAGAGAATTCTAATGGCGTACGACTCGACGCATGGTACCATGAGCGATTGCTGTGCTCGATTCATCGATGCATCAGTTGGCGACACGTGTTTGCACACACGCACGCAAGCGGCGTCCCGGGGATGACCGAACCGGCGGCTCAGCCTGTTTGGTCCCGTGGATTTAAAGCGTGGGCTGCGTGTTAAAATCTCGTCTGTGAAGAAGCTCTGACACAAGTGAGAGTTTGATTCCAGAAGAGGGGCTCTGCAATCCATCGCAATCACCACTCATTCACTCACTCATCCTCTCCCCCTGCTTCCTTCCTCCCTGCTGCATCCTTCTTTTCCTCCTGCTCCCCCTCCCGGCTTCGGCGCATCTTCACTGCCAAACTTCATCGTCGCAAACGAAGGAAAGCGTTCGTTCTACCGCGCAGGTTTTCGCGGTCTCGGCTGCATAGCTCTCCTGACGGAGCTCCCGGCACGTGGAGCGAAACGTCGGCCGGAAGCGCGTAACGGATAGCGAAAGAGACGCGTTCGTTCAAGTAAGGACATCTTTTGTTTTCTTCTTCCGTCTTGGCATCGAAAGCCGAAGCTTTGAGGCTCGTGCGTGACCCTGTGCAGAGCGTACAAAAAAATAAAATGAAATTTATTCTGAACCTTTTATTTATTATTCTCATCCTAATTAACTATTCAGTAAGCGGCTACGCGGTGGCGCAATCATCGCGGTGGCAGGAAGTTGCACAAAAATAAAATAAGCCACGCCAAGTCCAATGACTCAGCATTTCGGTATATTTTTTTCTCTCCCAAAGTTGTTGTAAGCCAATCAAACACTCTCGCCCACATATCTGCCGCATAACTGCCTTCTCCTGGCGAGCCAGGGGTACAATTTCTCGATGCCCACTGGAGGGGAGCTGAGCCTCACAGCGTCTGCGCGGTCATCCACCAACCCTCGCTGATTCCAGGCCGCCGCATGCTTAGTAGCCACCACCACTGCCCAGTTGAGTTGTGTGTGTGCGCGCATACAAACTCGGCCCGACGATGAGAGCCGCGCACGTGACAGAGCTGCCGACGAGCACAAACAGAAGCAGAGAATAATCCCAGCACAACTCGCACACAGCTGACGCTCAACACAGAGACGAGAAGCAGAGGCCAGGGGCGGGAGGCTGTGTGCGGGAAAGTTCAGGAGAGAGGGCCGGGAGGGTGTCTGGAACCGTCTGCCCATCGCGACACGTGATGGTGGTGGTGGGCGATTCTCACTGGGGCTCTTCAAGAAACACCTCGATGAGATTCTAGAATAGATCTGCTGCCAACGACCAAAGGAGCCTGACCGACTGAATGGTCACCCACATTGCGATTCTAACCCTTCCGATGGTCTCACGGCGTCTTCGTCATCAGGGGTTCTTAGATTCTGACCCAGTGCACTGGCCGCCATTTTTACTTGTATCGGCGGCCAATCACAAGGCGGTCGCGAACATCATGTGACTGGACAAGAGCCACGCCCCTTCCGGTCACCTGGTTCCGCTTGCCCAATCGAACGTGGAGAGCCAATGACATCACAAACCGACTCGCAGACACCCACGCTAAAATAAGCCGTCCAGTTATTATTGAAGATTGGGGTTCGCCACCCGTCCTGATTATCCCAGGATGCTCCTCCCGTTGGCGATATCTTCAAGTCTTCCCGGTACGACAATTAAAATACCCCGATAATTTGTCAGCTGTGTAACAAAAATCATCATAATAACGATGATTAAAAAAATACTGCACCGCCCGAGACAAAGGCGTTCTTCGCATCCTCCTTCCCGTGACACTTGCCGACGTTTTCGCACACCGCACGCGCGCAGGCGCGGACATGGCGGCCCTATCGAAGCGCCACGCCTGACCTCGCGGGTCCCACGGAAAACGGCCCTCCGTCGTCTTGGCCACCTCCTCCCCCATTCGACACCCCGGACCCTCTTTTCGCTCGGCAGATTTCGTTTTTCCTGTCGCGGTCACCGATGAAACGGGTTGGTGGTCGCCGGGGAGCAAGGCGGCCCGGGTTCTGGCGGGTACATTTTGCCCCCGATTTCGGCGTTGGCGGTCCCGGCGACGGTTCCCCCGGGCGCGGCTGACGCCCACCGCTCCTCGAATGCCACGCTGTGCGCCGGTGAGCGCTCGCTGTGCGCCGGCGACCGGGCGCCGCCGTTATGAGCCTGGTGCAACCGCGGCTGGAGCAGCGGCGATGGGGGCAGCGACCCGCCAAGCTGCGGCGACTCCGGCGCCTGTCCGTGCTGCAGAAGGTGGTGCTGCTGCTGCAAGTGCTGGTGTTGACGCAGCTGCTGCTGCTGGTGCATCTGTTGCTGCTGGTGCTGCAGGTGAGTCAGAAGGTGCTGCTGCTGCTGCTGCAGCTGTTGCTGAAGCTGCTGCTGCTGCAGCTGCTGCTGCAGCTGCTGCTGGTGCTGCAAGTGAGTAAGAAGGTGCTGCTGATGCTGCTGCTGAGCGAGATGGTGTGGCGAAAGCTGCTGCAGCTGCTGCAGCTGCTGCTGCTGGAGCAGCGACGCGGCCGTCGCCGCCGCCGCCGCCAGCGCTGCCGACGACGATGGCGACGACGACGCCGACGAAGGCGCGGACGGCGTGGCGGGGCCAACGGCGTACACGGCTTGCGGGGAGAACAGGCTTGCGGCCATCTGCGCCGGCGTTAGATCCGATCCGTAAGCGCCAGCCGGCGGCACTGTTCCGTTATGAGCGAGCGCAGCTGCCGAGGCGTACGGGGACCGCACCGGCGCCGCCACCCCGCCAAACGGGTTGACCCCCGGCGGCGCCGGCTGACCCTGAGCCTGCGCCGCCACGGCCTTGGTGACCTCGTCGAGCCAGCGCTCGGCCTCGGACGCCGTGCGCCGGTGGCCCAGCGGCGGCGACGACGACGGCGCGTGGTGCGGCCGGGGCTGCCCCACGAGGGCGCCGCCGGCAGCACCGGCGGCGCCCTCGTGGGGCAGGGAGGCCGACGGACCCCACGAGACGGCGCGCTGGTGGTGGTGGTCGAGGCTGTCGCGGGCGGTGCCGGGCAGCGGGTACGGCGGCACGTCGCGGTGCGCTGTGGTGGGGGAGAGGGGGGGGGAGTGGCACGCACGGGACAGCTGTTATTTGCCGGGGCGCGTACCGCGGTAAATCTATTCTGATCATGCCGACGCTGCTACTTATGCAAATTCTGCTGCTTCCAATGCTGCTACTGATTTTGCTGCTGCTGCTGATGATGATGGTTACACCAAATATCCTGCCACTGTAGAATCATGATGAACATCTACAATCACAATGCAACAATGACCACAATAATTTTCCCTCCCTCCCTCCCTCTCACTCTACTCATCCTCACCTTGCATGGAGACGGAAGCCGGGGGGAGGTCGTGACCTCGCCCCAGCAGCCCCGTGCCGGACATCTGCCCGCACAGCTCGCTCACATCGTCCGCTTCACCCTGGCACGGGGACTCAGGCTCCGTCAGCTCGTCTGCACGTGATACGGCGGTGCAGCAGGCGGTCACACCGATCACCTCGACAGCGCGATGCGAACGTCACATCCCCACCCCCCCACTTCTTTTTGGTATTGTCACCGTCCCCAAGTTGGACTCCGGCCGCACGATCGGGGGGGTCACAGGACAAAGCGACACAATTGGGGGAAACCCCTCGCCGAGAGACCGGCGGCGCTCCGCCGCAACGGAGGAAAGGCATGGGGTGTAGGGCGTGTGGGGGTGGGTGGTAGGTAGTGTCCTATACCCCACCAGTTACAGCTCCTCCACGCGGGGTGCGTGCGTGGGTGGGTGGGTGTATACGTGGGTGGGTGGGTGCGTGCGTACGTGGGTTGGTGCGTGCGTGGGTGGGTGGGTGGGTGCGTGGGTGCGTGCGCGCACCCTGGAAGTCCATGTGTCTCTGCCGCGTGCTCGGGAGGTCGTTGACGCGCAGCGAGAGCTGCCGCTTGAATGGAGACGTCTTCTGTGCCAGCGCGGGGAACCCACGGAAGGAGCCCTGCACAAGCGTGGCGACGGCAGCGGACGACAACGACGGCAGCGGACGTGAGTGCTCATTCCTGATCGCTCGCGACCATGGCGAGGGTGGCAAGTCTGATGACGACGACGATGATGAAGATGATGAAGATGACCATGGTAACTGTGATGATGATGTATGTTGGACTTTTTTTCGTACGTAGCCAACGGCGCTAATCGGACAACACAAAAAAAAACAGTTCTAAAGAAATGAGCCGGCGCAACAAACAATTGCCCAAGCTCTACGGTCCTCTATATATTAATGAGTACGTGCATGATGGGAGAAAACCGGAGGACCCACAGAAAATTCACGCATGCGAGGGGGTAACACTCTATCCCATCCAGATGGCTTAAACAGACGGCGATTAGTGCACTTGCTGTACCACCTTCTGGTGAGCCACGAGTATGGCACCTCCACGACACCCACGGTAAGGGAGTTTCACAACATCTGTGTGTGTGTGTGCGATCCAGCAACCCTCACTGCTCCCTTCACAGTGCTGGATTACAGGCAGAGCCACGTGCATAGCCACCACCACCTCCTGGCATTGATGACGACGATGGAGGTGACACCCGTAATCATTCAAACAACGATCGTACGAATCGCGGTGTCGACTATGACGACGCAGACACGTGCACACTCCCACAGACACGCTCACAAAGACAAAGATCCCCCGTGTCGCCCTAACAGACCTTTGGGGCAAGTTCTCTTAGCGAGCAGCACCTATGAAGGCCGGCACGGCGCACGACGGGGGCGGGTGGCCAGCACCACGCCAGGGCCGCCTTTGTCTCCCCAGTGGCGATGTTTACTACGCACCGCACCGGGCGGCTCATTTGAAACCGGCTCGACCTAGGGGAGCTTGAGAAACCGGTTCGGATAACCGTCACCGGTCGCCGTGGGCGGGCGCGAGCGCGGATCTCTTGGCGACGTCGCTGCCGCCGTGGCTCGTCCGCGCCAGGCTAGGTGCGCGCGTCTCTCACCTGCCGCACCAACTGCTCGAGCGGCGCGTGCTTGCGAGGGATGGCGTGGGGGTTGTGGCCCCCGGCGTGGGGGGGCGGCGGTTCCCCCGGCGTCCACGCCGGGGCCGCCGCCGCCACCGCCGGGGCCGCCGCCGGGGCCGCGCCGCCACCGCGCCCGGCCACGACCGCGGCCGCGGAGGAGGAGGAGGAGGGTGAGGAGGAGGGGGAGGGGTATGCGGGGGGCGCCCCTCCCACCTCCGATCCCGAGTTGCCGACCCCCGACATCGCTGCCATGGCTCTCTCGATGGGAGACGCTGAGGGAGGGGGCAGGGGAGGGGGGCAGAGGCGAGACCACGTGACGGCGGTGGTGATGGGGGGTAATGGCGGTGATGGCGATGAGACTCACACACTCACTCACGTACACCATGACGTAAACTACTAAACTGTGATGATGATGATTATTAGACAATGGTTGGCTGTGACGATGATGATGAGACAAGGGGTGAGGCTGTAATGATGAACACGACGAAGATTAACGGCATAAGGCACGTCCACTAGAGTAGACGTGCCAATGGAGACCCGGGACAGGTCCAGATAATCGTCATCGGCGTTGGTGGCCATCATCGGGAATCGAACTCGGGTAAGTAGCCGGTTAAGTAGTGAAGCACATGCACCCATCACCCACCCATCACCCACCCACCACCCACCCACCACCCACCCACTACCCACCCACTACCCACCCACCACCCACCAGTCCACCACCCACCCACTACCCACCTACCCGCCCGCTCACCCTTCGACGCTCGCTCGTGCGTTGCGGCTCCGGTCATCGTCACCGCCACCATCATCATCGTCGTCGTCGTCGTCGTCCCCGCCACCTCGTCGCCGGGCCTGTCGCCTGCCGCGGCGCCACCGGCACCGGCGGCACCGCCGGCGGCGTTGGCGGCGTTGGCGGCGTTGGCGCGGAAGGAGCCCTCGCGGGTGAAGCTGGTGCGGTTGGCGTCGAAGGTGGCGGTGACGCCGCACTCCTTCTCGCGCCGCTGCTTGCGCTCGAGGCATGCGGCGAACGCGCAGCCCACGGCGTGGCTCAGCCGCTCGCCCTGCGAGGGCACGTGCGGGGGGGGGGGGGGGGGGGCGTTGATGGGCGGAACGATGAGGTCGCCGACGACGGGGCGACGAGGTCGCCGACAAACTGACCAGGTCACGGATGGACCAATGAGGTCACGGGTGGACCAATGAGGTCACCGACGTTGGACCGACGAGGTCACCGACGACAGACCAACAAGGTCACGGATGGACCAATGGAATCACCGACGATGGACTGACGAGGTCACGGATGGACCAATGGGATCACCGACGACGGACCGACAAGGTCACAGATGGACCAATGGGATCACCGACGATGGACTGACGAGGTCACGGATGGACCAATGGGATCACCGACGATGGACTGACGAGGTCACGGATGGACCAATGGGATCACCCACGACAGACCGACAAGGTCACAGATGGACCAATGGGATCACCGACGATGGACCGACGAGGTCACGGATGGACCAATGGAATCACCGACGATGGACCAACAAGGTCACCGACGAGTTCATTAATGAAGGGAATAATGATTGGAGGAATGAGATCGAATTAATAAACAAATGAACCAATATATTAAGATCGGAACAGATGAGTGAAAAACGAACGAATGAGGCGAACATTTAAGGAATAAGTACCACAGGAATGAATGGCGAAACGAACGGATAAAGGAAGGAATAAGTTCGCGAATGGATACCGAGTCCTTGATGGCCATGAAGGAATGGCATATCCAGCGACGCGTCGTCCCATCCCTGCAGATGTAGGAGAAGGCTTTGTCGTAGTTGCGGTCCGGGGCGCAGAAGGAGACCTTCTCAATCGTCTGGTCCACAATCATGTCCTGAGCGGCAGCAGCAACACGCGCAGCAGGTTACCGTGACACAACAGTGCGGGGAGGCCCCTCATCCACTGCTGGATGAGGGGCCTCCTCGCACCGGGCGGGTCGCCTCGTGCGCCGTCCTCGGTAGGCCTCGCCGAGCTGCTCGGTGCCGGTGTTGGTGAAGGTTTGGGGGGGGGGGGGGGGAGGTGGGGGGAGTGCGGCGAGGCCTCGCTTGGCGCGCGGGGTTCACGTGACGACACGGGGTTCACGTGACGACACGGGGTTCACGTGACGACACGGGGTTCACGTGACGACGCGGGGTTCACGTGACGACACGGGGTTCACGCTACGACACGGGGTTCACGCTACGACACGGGGTTCACGTGACGACGCGGGGTTCACGTGACGACACGGGGTTCACGTGACGACACGGGGTTCACGCGACGACACGGGTTCACGTGACGACACGGGGTTCACGTGACGACACGGGGTTCACGCTACGACACGGGGTTCACGCTACGACACGGGGTTCACGCTACGACGCGGGGTTCACGTGACGACACGGGGTTCACGTGACGACACGGGGTTCACGTGACGACGCGGGGTTCACGTGACGACACGGGGTTCACGTGACGACGCGGGGTTCACGTGACGACACGGGGTTCACGTGACGACACGGGGTTCACGCTACGACACGGGGTTCACGTGACGACACGGGGTTCACGCTACGACGTGGGGTTCACGTGACGACGCGGGGTTCACACTACGACACGGGGTTCACGCTACGACGCGGGGTTCACGTGACGACGCGGGGTTCACGCTACGACACGGGGTTCACGCTACGACACGGGGTTCATGTGACGACGCGGGGTTCACGTGACGACACGGGGTTCACGCTACGACACGGGGTTCACGTGACGACACGGGGTTCACGCTACGACACGGGGTTCACGTGACGACACGGGGTTCACGCTACGACGCGGGGTTCACGCTACGACACGGGGTTCACGTGACGACGCGGGGTTCACGTGACGACACGGGGTTCACGCTACGACACGGGTTCACGTGACGACACGGGGTTCACGCTACGACACGGGGTTCACGCTACGACACGGGTTCACGTGACGACACGGGGTTCACGTGACGACACGGGGTTCACGTGACGACGCGGGGTTCACGTGACGACACGGGGTTCACGTGACGACACGGGGTTCACGCTACGACGCGGGGTTCACGTGACGACACGGGGTTCACGTGACGACACGGGGTTCACGCTACGACACGGGGTTCACGTGACGACACGGGGTTCACGTGACGACACGGGGTTCACGCTACGACGCGGGGTTCACGCTACGACACGGGGTTCACGTGACGACACGGGGTTCATGTGACGACACGGGGTTCACGCTACGACACGGGGTTCACGTGACGACACGGGGTTCACGCTACGACACGGGGTTCACGCTACGACACGGGGTTCACGCTACGACACGGGGTTCACGCTACGACACGGGGTTCACGCTACGACACGGGGTTCACGTGACGACACGGGGTTCACGCTACGACGCGGGGTTCACGCTACGACGCGGGGTTCACGTGACGACACGGGGTTCACGTGACGACACGGGGTTCACGCTACGGGGCCGTTATTTTATCGGGGATCACGTCACTGCAACGTCACCGTCACTTTTATATGACTCGTATGATGATGATGATAATAATCATCATACTAATCATTACGACTGGTATTACCATCATCATCATCACGGCTACCGCATCATTAAGTTCAATCATCACCATCATCATCACCGCCACCATTACTAGCACGGTTGGCTACGCACCTCCAATTTGCACGGTTGGCTGCGTAAGTGCATGCATGGCGACTGATGGTTATCGTAATGACCCGGAGGTATTAGGAGTTGACTGTACCTTGGTGGCATCGTCCACCACTCGAAGTCCGTCAGCGGACACCCACAGCCCGGCGCGGATTTTCTTCCTGTCCGTCTGTGGAGAAGCCGGAGATTTTATTTTAAATAATTAAATATATATATAAAAATTTGATACACAAGGTCAAAGATCCCACAACATCGTTTTAAAAAAAGTGGGCCAAATTTGAAAACTTACCAGCAAATTGTTCAATTGAGATTCCAACCCAGCAGCAATCATCGCCACGAAACCCCCCTGCTCAGTGGCGTAGTAACTACGTTATCAGTGGCGTAGTAACTACATTATCAGTGGTGTAGTAACTACGTCATCAGTGGTGTAGTAACTACATTATCAGTGGTGTAGTAATTACGTCATCAGTGGCGTAGTAACTACATTATCAGTGGTGTAGTAACTACATAATCAGTGTAGTAACTACATTATCAGTGGCGTAGTAACTACATTATCAGTGGCGTAGTAACTACATTATCAGTGATGTAGTAACTACACTATCAGTGGTGTAGTAACTACATTATCAGTGGTGTAGTAACTACGTCATCAGTGGTGTAGTAACTACATTATCAGTGGTGTAGTAACTACGTCATCAGTGGCGTAGTAACTACATTATCAGTGGCGTAGTAACTACATTATCAGTGGCGTAGTAACTACATTATCAGTGACGTAGTAACTACATTATCAGTGGCGTAGTCACTACGTTATCTGTGGCGTAGTAACTACATTATCAGTGGTGTAGTAACTACATTATCAGTGGTGTAGTAACTACATTATCAGTGGTGTAGTAACGACATTATCAGTGGCGTAGTAACTATATTATCAGTGACGTAGTAACTACATTATCAGTGGCATAGTAACTACATTATCAGTGGCGTAGTAACTACATCATCAGTGACGTAGAAACTACATTATCAGTGGCGTAGTAACTACATTATCAGGGGCGTAGTAACTACATTATCAGTGGTATAGTAACTACGTTATCAGTGGCGTAGTAACTACATTATCACCTCAGGAGGCCCGGCAATCGGTCAGCTAGGGCCCCAATTTTTGATTTGTCTCGCACGGTCGCACCTAGAGGCTCTTCTCTCTCGCGGCTCCTCTTGCCCGAATTGTCGTTACGCTCACGGTCTTGAACATTTAATGCTGTAGGGGCGCACTCCGCCTTCGCAAAATGCAGCCACTTACAGCTCCGCAGTAGTTACCTCTTTGCAACATTACGTTACTGCTCCAATTACATTAAATGAAAGCATTTGTCATATAAATACTTTTAAACCACGTTTTAAATAACTGTGTTGTTCTTTGACACTTTGGTGGTTGTCAAGGGGGGCCCCCCCCAACTCGCAGCTTTGGCCACCAGGCCCCCCCCCCAGCCTGCCTGCCCCCCCCCCCCCCCCACGCTCGTCAAGCGACTGCCCCTACTGGCAGAATAGCGGTGCCGAGGGTCACCTCGTGCCGTTGAAAAAAAGAGCTTCATCAGCTCATCGGATTTCTTCCAGCCCGAGTAAAGATTCCCAATTCCCATTCCGAAGAAACCCCCTTCACCCGACTCACCGCTTTGAGCCTCTTCACGGCCTCCTCACACACGTGCATTCCCCGGGACTCGTCCACCTCCACGCAGCCCAGGTACTGAACCGGGCAGAGAGGTCGCCAGCGGCAGGGCAGAGACACCGGTGTGGGGGGGGGGGGGGGGGGGCACAACCAGCGGCGGCACGTGTTATGGGTGCGGGCACAGGACACACGCGGGCTCAGGTGCGGGTTGTGAATGTCCCATGTGCTGCTGGACATCTGTGAAAAAAAGAGCGTAATAGCCTATTGGATTCCTCCAGTATAAATATGCTGATGTGCACTCCCCCTCCCCCCCCCCCCCCCACTATGGGGGGGGTCACTTCTCTCACTGCTGGATGAGGGTCAGGAGGTGGGGGGGGGGAGGTTATGTGGTCAAACAGCCCCTACAACTGAGACGAAAGTGGGGGGGCCTTCGGCTAGCAGTGGGCTGTGAAAGGACCGGGAATGAAAATCAATATGAATATACACACCCATGGCTGTCCATGGGGGGAGAATTTGGGAAGGGGGGCTCGAGGCAAATCATGCCGTGTGGGCCCCCCCCGATGCATTCAAACTAAACCGGGAGTGTTACATCTGACACCGTGACGCCCGAGCGGAGGGCCCGAGGCATTCGCCGTAGCCTCAGGGACGTCTCTGTACACGCCACACGACACGACATCGATCCAATTCCAGATCAACTCACCGTCTCCAAGATATTCCACAGACTCGCCCCTTCCTACCTCTCCACTCTCATCTCACTCTACTCCCCTCCACACACACTCTCCTACCTCTCCCCTCTCATCCCACTCTACTCCCCTCCACACACTCTCTTACCTCTCCCCTCTCATCTCACTCTACTCCCCTCCACTCACTCTCCTACCTCTCCCCTCTCATCTCACTCTACTCCCCTCCACACACTCTCCTACCTCTCCCCTCTCATCTCACTCTACTCTCCTCCACTCACTCTCCTACCTCTCCCCTCTCATCTCACTCTACTCCCCTCCACACACTCTCTGCCCCAACAAGGCTTCCACAGAAAGCCGACCCAGGAACACAAAATGTGTTACAGTGTTGTCGCTCGGTGGGAGGTCGCTCATCCCCCTTTGCTGCCCCCAAGGTCCGAAACTCCTTCCCCCCTCCCCCAGCCGTCCGTGCTGTCGACTCCCTACCCCTGTTGAAATCGAGACTCAACACCTTCTCCTCTGGATAGGACCGACCGCCCCGATCTCTCTCTCTCTATATATTAGAATTAAATAACCACACGGCTTGGGCCCAGCATTGCGAGGCGCGGTTACATGTCAGACGCGGCGATGTAAAACCCACGTTGCACCGGTGCTGCGAGCTCCGATTTTAGGTTTCCTCTTCATCTGAATCCATCGCTCTTTTTCTGACCTTGTCAACCAACGTCTGCGGCAGCTGATAGCCACAAGAAGATTCCTCCCATTCACAGAGGGCCCGTGGGGAGCTGCGCTATCGCGGAGTGGCAGGCATTGACGGAGAACTAATTATAATCGAACAAACTAATAATACAACAATTTTGGTTTAAAGCTTTCGTGACTGCAGGGATTCATGTTCTTGGTATCTTTCGGTAAAGTCACGTAGAAGGGAAACAATAAAATAATAAAAAATATAAAACAATACAATTCTCACGACGTTTCGACTGCAACACAAGCAGTCATCATCAGGTGTGAAAACCTGATGATGACCTTTTAATAGACTTTCGGGGCAAGTGCTCTGTTAGCGAGCGCCTAATAGGGTGGTTTGGCAATTACAATGCCCCATCCGCCTTTGTCTCCCAAGCATTAATTTCAGTCTGAGTCGACCTAGGGGAGTCTCAGGACAAGTTGTGATACCACCTGCCACCGATCATAGCCGTGGGCCTGGTTCGGAGCGTTGTGCGTTAACCACTGCACCACCGCTCCCTCGACATAGACACGCACACACACATTTACATATAAATTACCAACAAAATCACAGCACGGGCTGCTGCAAAGGAAGGATGCTACTTGACTTGGCGGGATAATTTATAGGCAATTTCAATACACCACACACACACAGACACACCACACACACACCACACACACAGACACACCACACACACACTACACACACACAGACACACCACACACACACCAAACACACTCCACACACACACACCACACACACACCACACACACAGACACACCACACACACACACCACACATACAGAGACACACCACACACACACACCACACACACACCACACACACAGACACACCACACACACAAACACACCACACACACACCACACACACACAGACACACCACACACACAGACGCACCACACACACACCACACACACAGACACACCACACACACACACCACACACACAGACACACCACACACACACAGACACACCACACATACAGAGACACACCACACACACAGACACACCACACACACACACCAAACACACAGACACACCACACACACAAACACACCACACACACACCACACACACACAGACACACCACACACACACCACACACACAGACACACCACACACACAAACACACCACACACACACCACACACACACAGACACACCACACACACACCACACACACAGACGCACCACACACACACCACACACACAGACACACCACACACACACACAGACACACCACACACACAGACACACCACACACACAGAGACACACCACACACACACAGACACACCACACACACCCACACACACAGACACACCACACACACAAACACACCACAGACACACCACACACACACCACACACACACAGACCCACCACACACACAGACACACCACACACACAGACACACCACACACACACCACACACACACAGATACACCACACACACCACACACACAGACACACCACACACAGACACACCACACACATACACTGACACACCACACACACAGACACACACAGACACACCACACACACACAGACACACCACACACACACCACACACACAGACACACCACACACACACTACACACACACAGACACACCACACACACCACACACAAAGACACACTACACACCACACACAGACACACCACACACACAGACACACCACACACACAGACACACCACACACACACACAACAGACACCACACACACAACAGACACCACACAACACACACAATAGACACCACACATACACACAACAGACACCACACACACACACACAACAGACACACCACACACACAGAGACACACCACACACACATGACACACCACACACACACCACACACACAGACACACCACACACACAGACACACCACAGACACACCACACACACACCACACACACAGACCCACCACACACACAGACACACCACACACACAGACACACCACAGACACACCACACACACACCACACACACAGACCCACCACACACACAGACACACCACACACACCACACACACAGATACACCACACACACACCACACACACAGACACACCACACACAGACACACCACACACACACAAAGACACACTACACACACACACACCACACACAGACACACCATACACACAGACACACCACACACACAGACACACCACACACACACACAACAGACACCACACACACACAACAGACACCACACACACAACAGACACCACACAACACACACAACAGACACCACACACACACAACAGACACCACACACACACACAAACAGGGCGCCACGGAATTTAGGAGCAATTTCACGCGCGAGCGGTTTTATTTTACACGGGATGCCCGCTTCAGTTTGGCTCTTTTCTCTTCGGGTTTCAATCGGTAGAGCCGCAGCGTCACGCGCACAGCCCTCGTGGGGCACGGCCCGCACCGCGTGGACCGTGCACCGCTCCACAGCAAGCGGACAAAGCCAAAAGGAGCCCCCCCCCACCGCCGTGCCCGCTGTGCCCGCTCTTCTCGGGGCAAGTGCGGGCACAGCGAGCAGCACCTATGAAGGCTGCCGGCACGGCACACGAGGGGGTGGGGTGGCCACCACCACGCCCGGCCGCCTTTGTCTCCTGAGTAGCGATGTTTACACACCGCACCAGGTATGTCGTTTGAGGCTGAGTCGACCTAGGGGAGGCCCAGGACCGGTTCAGATAATCGTCACCGGGTGTTGGCAGCGGGACTCGAACTCGGGTCGGTGGGTTCGTAGCGCAGCGTGCTATCTTAACCACCACCACCACCACCACCAAGTACTCTCATTGCTGCCACGACCACCGCGCTCCGGGCCACCACCGCCGTGCGTGGCCAGCGTGAGCATCATCTTGACGGGGCCACCGCGGGCCTCACCTTGACAGGGCCACCGCGGGCCTCACCTTGACAGGGCCACCGCGGGCCTCACCTTGACAGGGCCACCTCGGGCCTCACCTTGACAGGGCCACCGCGGGCCTCACCTTGACAGGGCCACCGCGGGCCTCACCTTGACAGGGCCACCGCGGGCCTCACCTTGACAGGGCCACCACGGGCCTCACCTTGACAGGGCCACCACGGGCCTCACCTTGACAGGGCCACCGCGGGCCTCACCTTGACAGGGCCACCGCGGGCCTCACCTTGACAGGGCCACCGCGGGCCTCACCTTGACAGGGCCACCACGGGCCTCACCTGGACAGGGCCACCGTGGGCCTCACTATGACAGGGCCGCCACGGGCCTCACCTGGACAGGGCCACCGCGGGCCTCACTTTGACAGGGTCACCACGGGCCTCACCTTGACAGGGCCACGTCTGGCCTCACCTTGACAGGGCCACTGCGGGCCTCACTTTGACAGGGCCACCACGGGCCTCACCTTGACGGGGCCACCGCGGGCCTCACTTTGACGGGGCCACCGCGGGCCTCACCTTGACAGGGCCACCACGGGCCTCACCTTGACAGGGCCACCACGGGCCTCACCTTGACGGGGAAGTTGCAGTGGCCGCGCCTCACCGCCTCCTCGTCCGCCTGCCACTGGTGCGGGCGGCTCGCCTCCGGCACGTAGTTCTCCTTCTTCCTTCGCAGGCTCTGCCGCAGCTTATTCATCGCTCCGTCTGCTGGGGCGCGCACACAAAGACAAAGACCCCCCCCCCCCCCCGCGTAGCCTTAGAAGGCGGTTGGGGCAAGTGCTCTGTTTAGCGAGGAGCAGCAGCGTATCTGGAGGCCGGCACGGCGCACGAAGCGGGGTGGGTGGGTGGCCGGCAACTCGCCCGGCCGTTGTCTCTCCCAGTGGCGATGTTTACGACACTACTACACCACTTCACCAGGTACTCATTTGAGGCTGAGTCGACCTAGGGGAGTCCCAGGACCGGTTCAGATATAATTGTCGCTGGTGTTGGCCAGCACACACGACACACACACACACATAAACGACACGCACGCAACACGTATGTTATTGTTAGTTTGAATGGTCGGTTATAAAACACGTGGTCTGTGCTCTCGAGTTGCCTGGGTGAAGAGTAGGGGGCGAAGTTTTGCACAATCCTGGCCAGCTGGCTCAAAAGTGTAACAAACTAACAACTACACACAACAACACACACAACAACAACACAACGTACATTACACGCAACACACACCACAACGCACACCACACAAACACCACACAACAACACACAAACTACACAAAATACCTCCACAACACAACATAGCATTACACACAACGCGCGTAAACAAACATACACACGCGAATAAAGACATAAACACACAGACATAAATTACTTCACGAGTTGAATCAAGACGAGCGAACAAGACAGTCAAATTGCTCGGAAGGAGGAGGTGGAGGAGTCAGGGGGGTGGGGGTCTGGTCGGTTGGATGAGGTGTAAAATGAGCAGAGTGGGGAGGGGAGGTTTCTGCTAATCCCTGGGATATCAGAAGGCATCTGCTGTTATGGACCGTCCAGAGCCCACCGCTGTCTGTTCCAGGCAAAGCTGCAGCCCCGCAATTGCCCTCCAATTCCCCTGCTCACACGGCCACCGCTCCCGCGCCATGTGTTCGATTGCTCGTGCGAAGACGCACGTCACGACAACAACAACAACAGAGTGTTGCTTTGGTTTTGACATTTCAGTGACACCCCCCCCAACCCCCCCCCCCCCCCCCCCCCCCCCACCGGCTCCGCTCTTGCAAATGAGACTCAATTCCTGGTCCCCCTCGAAGTCTCATTCCGCTTCCACGAAATCGACGCGGAACCCCGACGTGTCGGAGGGCTCCTCTCTACAGGGAGGCACCTGACGTGAGAGCCGTGCGCTTGAGCAACCCGGGCAGACTTTTATGAGCAGCGTTTGGGTTTGCTGGCACACAGTCGGCGCGTGACGAATGGATGCCGTGCGGCGTGCGATCCATTAACACGCGCGCTCGATTTTCGCAATGAGCGAATAGAAGAGAGTTTAAAATATTAAAATATACTCTTTCAATCCGACCGCCGGATTCGGTGAGACGGCAACACCCGGACACCGGATCCCTATGGGTGGAACCGACTCGATTCTAAAACTAAACTATTTTTTTTTATTTTAGCAGGTAAGGCCCACTGAGCTATGTAGTTCTTTTATCAGAAGTGACCTGGCCACAAATGATAGCTCAACGAAAGTGGCTTATCGCGTAGAAATGTATAGCAGCCAAATTACTCTTAAACGCATGATTCTAAAATGCGGAGGTGAAAAAAAACCAGAGGACTCGGAGAAAAAATCCACGTGGCCACGGGGAGAGAGAGAGACACCGCAAACTCCAAATATGCAAGCGTCAGGGTCGTGATCGGGAACGAACCCACGACCTCCTGTATACCAGGCGAGGGGGTTAACATCTCCTAGCCACCGTGGGGCCCTCGATTCGTATCGCTACGATGGCCGGGAGATGGCAGAGCAGCGCAATGCTCGACCTGAACTGCAGATTGAATCCACCTGTGTGCGAGCTCCGAGCGTCACCCACACCTGTACGCATGGCGTGGAAAGTTTTCCCTCTCAACTCCTTCAGTTTCATCCTGACGAGTAAGCCAAACGGGATTGAGCAATAGTCACCAAAACAAACAACACCTACGGGTATCCTGTGTAAATAACCCAAAGTGATTTGCTGCACATGTTCACAGGCCTGAGCCTGAAATTACACATATCTATGTTGGGGCCCAGTCTTTCCGAAGGATAGCCGCTGTCGAGCCACTGGAATTTATTTTGATACTGCTGGATGTTTTGACCTGGAATCGAACCCAGACGGTGGAGGTTGTAGTGGCACGCTCCTCTCCCACAAAACATGTGTGCGCACACCGCCAAAGATCACCCATATAGCCTTAACAGACTGTTGGGGCAAGTGCAGTTAGCGAGCACCTATGAAGGCTGGCACAGCGCACGAGTGGGTGGCTAATACCACGCCCGGCCGCCTTTGTCTCCCTAGTGGCGATGTTTACACATCGCACCAGGTACTCATTTGAGGCTGAGTCGACCTAGGGGGTGCCCAAGACCAATTCAAATAATCGTCACTGGTGTTGGCCGTGAGCGGGAATCGAACTCGGGTGGCCAGGTTCGTAGTGCAGCGCGCTAACCGCTACACTACCGCTCCACACACACACACAACACACACTGACACACATGCACAGACACACCACGCATATGCATAGACACACCACCACACACGCACGCACACACTACCACACATGCACAGACACATCACGCACAGATACACCATCACACACGCACACACCAGACACACCACCTCACACACCATCCCACATGTACAGAGACACCACCACACATACACAGACACACCACACGCACACACAAAAACCGCCATTCGCCACTAAGTGGCGGTGACATCACCACGACGCTTGTGCCAGGCCATGTGCACCTTGAGGCCACGTGAAGTGTCGAACGCCCGCTGGCAGGAGGTCACGGGGCAGACCCAGGTGCCACGGGACGACTGACTGAGATGACTGGCTGATGCACCACCTGTGCCCCCTACTGTGCCAAACTGCTGTGCCTTCGTCACCCGGCGCTCCGCTCGTTGTTGTGAGCGTCGCTCCTCCGCCCTCCGTTGTTGTTGGAGGGGGACTGCCTCCAACTGCCCAGTAGCGTTCTTCACGAGCCTCCTCCACAGAGGCCGATCTTGACACCGCTGGTACCAGTCATCGGCAAGTCCACTCAGCTCCACGTCCTCCTGTACCACATCACTCCATCTCTTCTCTACCCCGTGCCGCGCCCGTTTAGCCCCCTCGATCCGGCCGAACAAAAGCTGTTTCGGCATGCGGTGGCTGGGCATGCAGGCTACATGACCCAGCCAACGCAGCCTTGCCTGCCGGAGGAGCTCACCGATGGGACCGTGCCCAGATCTTTCAAGGATTTGTGAGCTCCTCACACAATCCAGCCTGGTTAAACCCAGGATGGATCGTAGGAAGGCCAGCCTAAATGTTTCTAACCGGCGAAGATGTTCCATTAGGGGGGTCCACATTTCGCAAGCGTAGAGAAGGGAGGGAATGACCGTGGCCGAGAAGACCTGAAGCTTAGTGCGGAGCGACAGACCAGGTAGCTTCCACACAGCGTTACGCAACCGATGAAATATATTGCCGCTCGACTGATTCAGAGTGAAACCTCTGCTGTTAAACTGGAGCCTGTCATAAGCACACTGTCCAGGTATGGGAAACTCTCCACTCTCTCCACACCTGCCCCATCACCGATTGGGAGTTGTGGGGGTGGAGTGTCCGATGGTACAAAATACCCAGGCAGGTGCTTAGTTTTGGTGGGGCTGATGGTAAGGCCCCACCTCTTAGTGGCACGCTCCAGTCTCAGCAGCAGCGTCTCCAACTCCTCCTCTGAATGAGCGGCTATTACCAAATCATCGGCATACATAACGTGGTTGACCAATAGGGAGCCATCCCTTGACAGCACCCGGGCATCGATCAGCCTCCCATTATATCTGTACCACATGGAGATTCCCCCAGTACAGCTATTGAAGGCTTCACGAACTACGTGGTCAAAATAGATGTTAAATAATGTGGGAGCCAGAGGACATCCCTGTCGTACCCCAAGGTGTACAGGGAATGGCTCTGACTCCCGGCCACATAGTTTTACCCGGGCCCGCTCACCATCATGAAGGTCCTTAATGATCGTGAGCAGAGGGTCAGGTACTCCAAAAGCACGAAGAACAACCCAGAGCCCAGGCCTACTGATGGTATCATAGGCCTTGACCAGGTCAATAAAGCAGAGATGTAGGTCTTTCTGGAATTCCCTACACCTCTGCTGTAGCAGACGGACAGAAAATATGGCATCTGTGCAGGACCGCCCTTTCCTGAAATCGCACACACACTACACACACGCACACACCACCTCACACGCACACACATACACACTGCCACACACACAGACACACTACACACACGCACACACCACCTCACACGCACACACACCACCTCACACGTACAGACACACCACCACACACACCACCACACACTACACACACGCACAGACACACCACCACACACACACACGCACACACATCACCTCACACGTACAGACACACCACCACACACACACACCACACCCTACACACACGCACAGACACACCACCACACACACACAACCACACACCACCTCACACACTCCCAACTGCACACACATCACACACACACACAACCACACACCACCTCACAGACTCCCAACTGCACACACATCACACACACAGACACACCACCACACACACACACAACCACACACCACCTCACACGCACAGACACACCACACACACACAACCAAACAACCACCTCACACACTCCGAACTGCACACACCTCACACGTACAGACACACCACCACACACACACAACCACACACCACCTCACACACTCCCAACTGCACACACATCACACACACAGACACACCACCACACACACACACAACCACACACCACCTCACACGCACAGACACACCACACACACACACAACCACACACCACCTCACACACTCCCAACTGCACACACATCACACACACAGACACACCACCACACACACACACAACCACACACCACCTCACACACTCCCAACTGCACACACATCACACACACAGACACACCACCACAC